AGATACAACCAGGATTAATGAAGGAACCCGACCTAGCCATAAGGTCATAATGCTACGCAAGCTCTAGCCGCACACTCACAACCAATGCACTGCAAAGCATTGTCGCTTATCTGAATCACCTGGTGGTTTCGCTACCACAGCAAAGCATAGCATAGTCGGCATGCTCGAGTCTTGGCCGACGACGACACCGAGGTGTGGAGGGCGTGCTCTGGTGTCAATGGCTACACGCTGTAAACTGCTGGCTATTTCCGTCTTGCCAGCCTATGGCACGGGCGTCGTAGACCTGGTTCCGTCTCTGTGTGAAATTGTGATAGGTTGCGTGGACGGACGGGCCATGGTATTGGTTTCGCAGCCCAGGGGTGGCAGCCTCGACGGCCCAATGGTTCCGGTGCATACACCAAGAAATGTTGCACGTGCTCCAATCAAGGTTGAGAGCGGCGGCGGGAGGCCATTGCCCTGTATCTGGGGATCCTGGGGATGGACAAAAGTCGGTCACGGCATCTGGGGCGGTGGATTGGTAATGGCAATGTGATTTTCGTTTGTTTTTGCGTAAGACGGGTTGGGCTGTGTAGACCTAGGGCGTGGGGATACGAAGGACCCCTCTTTTCTGGTATGCAGGACACGGCCATGATGGCCTTGGTGCCGGCGTGTAGTAGGCGGCATCTCTCCGCATAGCAGCAATGGCAATGGCAATGGCATGGCATGGCATGGCGTCTCACGGATGCCGTCATGGCGCACATGTGGGCGGCCGGTCAACGGGTGGCAGCACGCGGTCTGCGGTGAGGACGGGCAGACAAAGACGTGGCCCAGTGGTGGTGGTGTCGCCAGCCCTGCGGCTAGTGTGGCCTCGCACTGGCCGGGCCGCCCACGCCATTGGAGGGAGGCGGCACGTGATGTACAACACATCAGCGCCGACCAGGGCGGGACCCAAAAGCTCCCATCCACTCGTTCGCAACTCGGCGGCGATAGTTTGCCAGGCGCTCTGCAAGCGGCTAGCAGCAGTGAGCTGGACGAGACGCGAGGAACCTGGCTGGCATTGCGCAGTGGCCGCCCATTGGGCTCCTTGTCGGCAGCACAGACACGGTTCGCGCGCTGCAAGAGCCAGAGCCAGAGCCAGAGCCAGAGCCAGAGCCATTGCGGCCGCCGCCCACCAGCAGCAGCATTTTATATCTTCCACTCGACCCCTCGCTCGCTCGCCTCGGCCCATTTGCTCCCCAAAGCCAAAAAAATGAGTGGTCCTGGTGAGAATCGGTACGTCCCGCCGCCACGGTAGCTTTACACATCATCATCAGCAGCAGCAGCACCATCACTGACGCACGCCATAGCTGGCGACGGCAGGGTCAGGCCAACCGCAACTCGGGCGCAAGCACCCCCACCAAGGACGCTGGACGCCAGCAGCCCATGGCACCGCCCACAGCCAATGTCTGGGGAGCCAAGCAAGCAAAGGCATCAGGGCCGCCGCAGACGACGGCGACGACGACGGCGACGCCAGCCCAGTCGCAGCCCGAGCACCATGTGCCGGTAAAGGACTTCAACGCCAACGAGGTCAGGGACTTTTTGAAAAAGAGTACGTCGCCGACTGCGGCTGCGGCTGTTGTGTATCTCGGAGCTGGGCTAACAAGGCGGGCAGAGTATCTCGAGAGCACTGCGAGTACGAACCACTGTCATGTGCTGGCACAATTGATACTAACACTGGCCGTGCAGATCAGCCAGCCGTCTACCACAAGGTTCCGGGCGACTCGGTGTCGAACAGGAGCAGCGGCGCATGGGGCAAAGGTGGTAAGGCGCTTCGCAGCAGCCCCCAGGTGCTGGAAACCAGGTTGACTGATGGGAAACTCGCAGGCACCATGCCGCACCTCATGCCGACCGGGCAGGACTTTTTCACGCAGCTCAAGAAGCAGCTGGCGAGCCTCGACCAGACCAAGGCGGCGTAGTCGCTGCCTGCATGCACATGCACACGCACACGCATACAGGCGAGGAGATGATTGTTTCAGCGGCATGGGACGGGCATAACCGGCGTTGTTTTGGGCTTTTCGTTTTCTCGAGGGGGGGGGGTGGAACAAGGCGTTTTGGGGCCTGGGAGCGTGCATCGGGCCCGGCTTGTAGCATCATGATAGGCGATACCCATGTGCTTGCGGCGAGCGGGTTGGGGCGGAAAAGCAGGACAGGACACGGGGGCTGTATGTAGCGGATGCAATGCGAGGGTACATGTACACGTAGATGCAGGCAGGCTTGGTGGTGACATGGGCGTGGTGATGTTGTGCATGTGTGCGGCGGCGACAAGGATACCCATACTTGGGCGCTTTCTGCTAAGGGGAGCGGGCGATGGGGGCAGGCGAATGCTACCCAGCCCGCGCCCGCCGCCTGCTCGCATACACTGATATAGACGCAGTATACGTGCTGGTCCTGGTCCTGGTCCTGCACTCTTGCCCTCGCCCTCTCGCCTGCACGGCCACGGCCACGGTCCAGTCGCCCAGTCGCCCGCGCAGTCGCCCGCGCGCGCCCACCCGCCGTACCTTGCAGTGAGGCGCACTTGGACTTCCGCAGCCAAGGCCGCAGCCTCAAGTTTAGGGGTACGGTGACAGTCACCACGCCCACTACCCCGCCACGTGCATCCCCTTTGCGACCTGTCGAGGTTGGGCCACTTGTTGCCCACGGCTGCGCGTGCTGAGAGACAAAGGCGCATTGCGCTCCCTGGTCTGGTGCCCTCGTCGCCATGTCCTCTCCACCACGCTCTCCGACGCACCGCCCTGCCTCTTCGCACCAGCGACACCCCGAGAGCCTGGACATGTCCCACAACACGGCTTCGCGACGCCAGTCGTTCAATCGCCGCCGCTCGTCCGGCTACTCGCCCGTAACCCCGCGCTCCTCGCACGACTTTGACGACAACCCGGCACACCACTTTGACGCCGCACAGCCACACGGCAATGGCCTGGGAAATCTGGCCGACGAGCTCGGCGAGGTCTGGGGCGACGATGAAGACGAAGACGACGAGGCCATGGACGCCGACTATGCTGACGACCTCGACCACCGCCACCACCACCTCGACCACCATCATGACGACCCGGCAATCGGCACCGCCGTCGAGCACGACGGCTCCTACGGCATCGACAGCGTCGCCAGCCTCAACGGCGTGCGCGACAGCGGCGTCGCCATGCAGGACTCGTCGCCCACGCACCTGAGCCCCGCCTCGGCTACCAAGACCAGGCGGCACAGCAGGCACAAGTCGTCCATGTATGACGGATCCGACTATGGCGACGACTCGGACCTCGACACCGAAGGCATCTCGCCCGCGCTCGAGTCGAGAATGGCGGCCATCGAGAGTCTAGCGCGGCGGGGCATGGAGGAGAACGGGAGCCCGGCTGACGAGGTGGTAAAGAGGGTCACGGAACAACTACGAGACTTGGGGAGTCAGATTGCGATAGAGAATGGATCGACGAGGTATGTGATCAAGGACTTTTCAGCTGCCACCATACATACCCCTTGTGCCGCCGACTTTCCCTGCACATATCACTTTGTCAAATTTCCAAAACATACTGACAAGAACAGGCTGAAAACGGCCCACGATGCCCTAACAACGCATCTGACGCATCAATCCCGTACCCTCACCTCGCTAGCAGCCTCCTTCTCGGGGCCGCGACCCATCATACCGGACCCAGAAACAATCGAGGAACTCCTCCCAATCATACAAACAACGCTCGAGGTACTCCCTTACTCGTCCACGGAGCCCCTCGTTGCGCTATCGCACCTCACCCACTCGAGCCGCGAGCTCCTCCAACATCTCGCCAACGTCAGCGACACGCTCCACATGTCGCGGCAAACCACGGTCAATGCCACGCGCCGGCTCAAGGTCAGCAAGGAACAGCTGCAAGACTGGAAACGCGACAACGAACGTACAAAGGAGGCCCAGGACTACATTGAGCATGGAGACTGGGATCGCCGGCTCAAGGAGCGTGAGGCAAAGCGCGCGTGTGCAGATGTGCTGGATGGCTTTGAAGATGTCTGTGGCCAATGGAGGAAAAGACTGTGTGATGGATTGGGTGTGGCGGGATAAGTGGGTAGAATTCTCTTTTTTTCTCTTTCCCTCTCTCTCTCTCTTCCCATCTTGCATCTTCTATCTTCAAATCTTCATATACCTACGTTAGAGCATAGATAGATTTTTCTTCTTCTTCTTCTTCTTCTTCTTCTTCTACTACTACTACTACTACTTCTTCTTCTTCTTCTTCTTCTTCTTCTTCTTCTTCTTCTTCTTCTTCTTCTTCTTCTTCTTCTTCTACTTCTTCTCTCCATTCTTCTCACTGTCATAAACAACATGATATCACCATCCATCCATCCATCCATTCATGGCCCATTCTTCAGCCTCCCTCTTCTCTTCTCTTTTCTTTTTCTTCTGGGGGGGTTTTTTTTGATTTTCGGGTTTTGGAGTGTTTCAACATCAAACACCTCCTCCTCCTTGAGACCAACAAACAAACAAACAAACAAAAAGCAAAAGAAAAAGAAAAAGAGGAACAGGAACAGGAACAAGATGAAGCAGGGAAAACAAATCTGTGGCTTGATATAAAACAAAAAACAGATCAGAAAGAAGAAGAAGAAAAAAAAATCAAAATACCAATACTGATGGCTGGTTCTGTACTAATGGCTGCTTCTGTTCTGTTCTGTTCGTTTCAAAAAAAATGGCTGGCCCTGATCGGGAGGGGAGGCAAGTGCGAGGAGGATATAAAACAATATTCCCCCTTTTTTTTCCAACAAAACTTGTCTCGCCAAGACTACTATTCTACATATCTTTTTCTTTTCTTTTCTTTTTTTTTGCAGGTTTTGATTTCAAAGAGTAGGGAGGGCTTGTTCTTGTTCTTGTTGTTGTTGTTGTTGTTGTTTTGGGGAGGGGGGGAGGCAAGACAGTCGCCGGTGGTGTAGGTCTTGCTATTAATCAGAGAGAATGATGGAAGATTTTTTTCCTATTTTCCCTGGTGGATTTTTTCTTTTTTTTGGATATATATATATATATATAGAGTCTCTCGAACGCTCTCTTTCCGTCGGTCATTTATTTCTCTCCGTCTTTCTTGCGGCTGTTGAAGTAGGGTAGTGGGCTGTGGTTTGTAGTAATACTGGAAGGAGAGGCTGACTGTTTGCTTTTTTCTTTTCTTTTCTTTCTTTTCTTTCTTTCTTTCTTTCTTTCTTTTCCTTCGCACTTATACACATACATACATTCCTACAGTTACTTACTCACTCACTCACTCACTCACTTGCACATGTACTTTTTCCTATGTTACGCTCCTCTATCTCTCTCTCTTTCTCTCATTTCTTTTTCTGACTCGTCTGGTCTGGTATGCTCTGTCCAAGTAGGGGGAAAACAGGGTAAAGCAGGGTTGGGTTAGGCTGGGCTGGGCTGTGTGGGGGGGTTTTTTTTGGTGAGGGTCGTATATATAGTTATATATATATATATATATATATATATATATAGATGGGAATTTTTCTTTAAAGTAATAACCCCCCGCCCCCCCCTACTTAGTAACTTGTCCTTGTCTTTTAAACATAGTCTCTCTCGAATGTATAGTCTTGGCTAGATTATTCAGAATATGAGAGTGTTTTCTTTCTTGTACATTTCTGCTGTTCTTTTTTCGGAATTTCTTTTGTTGACGTTGTTGTTGTTGTTACTTAATTGGTAGGTTGGTTGGATTACCTGGACTGGACTCGATAACACACACACATACACATACACATACACATACACATACACATACACATACACATACACATACACATACACATACACATACACATACACATACACATACATAACATACCATAACATAGCATAGATTTAAAATAAACACCCAAGAAAGTTACATAAAGAAAGAAAGAAAGAAAGAAAGAAAGAAAGAAAGAAAGAAGAAAGCCCTATATTTTTCTCACCCTAAAAACTTGCATGCCGTATGCAAGAAAAGCCAAAAAAAAAATAAATCAGCAAGTGTTGAAATGCCCCATGTTTCTAGTCTTTCTTTCTGTCTCTCTCTCTCTCTCTCTCTCAAAAGTATCTGAAATTTCCATAAACATACATGATGCCGAAAAGAAAAAGAAAGAAGAAAAAAACCGGTTGAAACTATATACAGCACACGACGACTACATGTATCATGTCACCCCCCCCACGTCTCTTAATTGCTTCATAATTATGATCATGATCATCTAAACAAGCCTCTGCACACAACTCACATCACTAACACCCGTGCCAGTGACAATCTTGGCCTCGACAACGTCGTACACGGGGATCTCGGCCAGGCGCTCGACAACATGGTGCAGCGTGGGCAGAGCCTTCCAGTCGCGGGGGTCAAACGAGATGGTAGCTTTGGAAGCCTTTGCGGTTGATTGGACGGACCTGGTTACGGTTTTTGCGTCGTCGGCGTTGGAGACAAAAGTCGTGTACTCGACGTCAGGCTGACCGCGGACTTTGCTACCGGGGCTAGCGGTAGCCGGAATGTATTTTTGCAGCAGGAGACCGTCGTCTCTGGGGGTAGTAGTAGTGCCGTTTGTCACACCATTTGCGTGGCCGTTCGTCGTCGCAGTATTTTCGTCCTGCAGCCCTTCGAGCTCCAGCGCGCAAAACTTCTCGCCCATCCAGCTGGCGTCGAGGCGCCACTTGCCGTCGTCAGCCTTGTGCACCGCCAGATCGGCAAACAGCTTCGGGAACCCGAGTTCCTCTCTGCCGCTCAGAATAGGGTCGGCCAGATTCTCGAATAGAACAGGGAGATAGCTGCCGATGACGGTTTCGCCGTCGGCTTTGGTGTACGAGATGCCGTGGATGTACAGCCCGAAATGCGTGTAGCCTCTTCCGCCCAGCCACTCGAGGTTGCCTAGCTGCGTCGCGGCAAACGTGGCGTATGCAACGGTGTCTGCGGCAGCAAACGTGAGGTTCTTGCCCGGCAGCAGGTTTTCCAGGATAGTCCTGCTCGTCTTGAAGCGGACGCTCGTCGTAGTAAACGTAGCATTTGCGCCGTTGCGGGGGCGCCCGAGGAAATCCTGACGGGGACCAGGCATGGGGCCAAAAGCCGTTGGCATGCGCCACAGGAGAGAACCGCTCTCCTTCTTCTTTTCCCATTCCCATTCTCGCAGCGCCTGGGTGGAAAAGTGCCATTCGTCGTGGCCAAAGTTGTAATCTGAGAGTTTCTGGTGGTCGATTGGCGGGCCGACGCCTAGGTCTCGGCCGGATAGGCGCGAGAACTCTTGGATGGTGGTGGCGCGCTCCAGACGGCACTTTTGGTACAGACGAAGTCTCTCGGGAATCGTGTCGGTTGTAGTGCCCAGAGGAAGCATGATGGCGAGGGAGACTGCGTCTTCGATTGCTTGAGCGGCGCCCTGGCCCTGGTCTGGTCAAGTGGTTAGCTTTACACACTGCAGTGGTATATGGCTAGAGCTTACGCGGCGTAAAAGGATGCACGGCGTCTCCAATCAAGACGAGTTTCTCATGTGTCCAGCTAGGCAGTTGCCCCATATCCAGCAGTTCCCACACCTTGAGCGTGTCCTCGTCGGCCATGCTGAGCAGCTTGAGGACCGCCGGCTCGAAATCCTTGTACACCTCTAGCATCATGCCGAGGTTACCTTGGTTCTGCCAGTCACCTTTTGCTGCGCCCTGGGGATCGATCTGGCTCTCGGCCGTCGGGTGGATGCACACAAAGTTGAGCAGTGTGCCGCCTGACGTCGGGTACATGACGACTTTCCTGTCGCGGCCCGCAATCATGATCAGATGGCCGTCTTTCTCCGCAAACTTGCGTGTCTGAGGCTCGTCGTACGCCTGTTGCCGCGAGACCATGAAGCGGAATGCGCTCTTGCCGCTGCCAAAGACCTTGAACTTGTCTGCGCCGGGGAGACGAGCTCGCGTCTTGGAGTGGACGCCGTCAGCGCCGACGACGACATCACTTTGGATTCTCTCGCCGCTCTCCAGTATCACAAGCCCCTGCTCCGGGTCGACATCGAGAACCTTGGAGCGCAGTTTCAGAACCGCTGGTGTACCAGGGCCTTCGGGGCAAGTCGCTAGCCGCTTCAGTTCGTTGTGCAGAGTCACGCGGTGTCCCAGCTGCCATGGATGCTGCCATCTCACCGCGTCCTTGCCCAAGTCGAAAGAAAACATTGTCCTGCCGTCGGGAAACCACTGCGAGATGTGCTTGCATTCCACTGCGCCCTGCTCTTCCGGGATGATGCCTATGCGGCGCAGCAGGCCGTTGGCATTGGGGGCCAGATGTACGGCGGCGCCCAGCTCGTTTGCAAAGCGCGAGGCCTCGACCAGAGTCACGGTGTGGCCTTGCCGACGCAGGAAGATTGCTGCGGATAGGCCACCAATGCCCGCACCGCATATTGTGATGGTGAGGGGTCGCGGCTCTGAGTCCGAGTGGTGGCCGTTGACCCCATTGGTTGTGGTGCCGTTTGTTGTAAAATACATGGTGGAGAGATGAGAGATGCACAAGTGAAAGACGGGAGAGGGGAATGAGAAGGAGTAGAGTACTAGATGTACTGAGGTCCTCGGAGGCGTGCTGGGGCAAGAGACGCAGGCTAAGTGATAAGTAGTACATGAGTGGCTGTATTCTGCCTTTTCCCGGACCTAGCAGTCGCAAACCCACGATAGGCAGAGGGATGCCATGGGCCTCCACATCCCGGACTGCGGACAGTGGCATCATATGCGGGGAACCAGGTGCGACGGGGGAAGGGGGGGCGTCCTGTGTATGCGGGGGAGAAAAAGCCGGAGGGTGGGTGGGTACCTTGGCGGCCTGGACGTGTGGAGGTTAGAAGGATGCGCTAGTGTTGCGTGAATTGCAGAGCACCCTGAGGCTAGAGAGTCCTGAGGCTAGAGAGTAGCGCCACGTAAGTAACGTGGGTGTGGTGTGCATGTCAAGAGTCGAAGCAAGTCCAAGGCGGAACAAGAATGGCCAAGACATGGTAATAGTGTTTGAGGCAGAATAGTGTTTGGGACATGGAGTAGCTGGCGTGGCACTGCATGGGCAAACCTTGAATTGAATCTCCTGCATTCCAGGTAGATTGGCACAGCCACAGCCACAGCCACAGCCACCGCCTCGCTGCATGGGTGAAGGAGAGCTGACATAGAAGTGGAACAGAAGAGGGATACAAGTGGGATAGGACTGGAATAGAAGTGGAATACATTGTATACTACGAAGACGACGGAACCCCAACAAAAGAAAGAAACCTGCTCGACTGCACCTCACCACTCGCCTCCAATCTTGTAGCGTAGATCCCACAGGCGGCCCATTGAGTTTCGCCACGCCTTTGACGAAGCCTAGACTGCAGTCAGCTCGCAATGCCCATGCAGCCTCTTTCTGCTCCAGACTCACCGACTGCAAGAAGACGCCCGTCATCATGACCACCACAAATGCCTGGTCGACGCGGCTGGGGTAAACCCTTCGTTCGCTGGGGTCGAGGTCCGGGTTGACGGGGCGGTACGCAGGCACGCGGCGATAGGCGGTTGGCCAGGAGCTTGGGTTCTGCGGTGCGTTTGCGGGCTCGGGTTGCGCATTCGAAGCAGCATCGCTGTCCTGAGAATGATGGAGATCGTAGTCGGAGAGGACGCCCTGGACGGTGTAGTGGGTGCGCGTCTCGGTGGCGGTGGCGGTGGTGGTGGTGGACATGTTGGCGGCGGCGGTGCTTGTTTCGTTGCTCCTTTCTCCAGCGACCAGGCACGAGATGATGAATGGCAGCAGAAGCAGTGCAGACGCTCAGATACGGGCCGGCGCACGTTTGTCCGAGCAGCGGGCTGACGTGATGCGACGTGCATCCCGACATGTGGAGAGACGGCGGGCGGGGAAGAAGACGCGGAGATGATGGGCGAGTGCGCGCCAGTCGGGATGTGGAGGGCGAGCGCTTCTCTCCTGGGCGTCTCACGCCGTGTCAGCGCTTGGGGCTCGCAATGCTGGCGTACCGCGCTGGGCCGAAAGCCTCGTCCAAGATTATAGACATTGGCGCATTCGCCCACCCAGCACCGCCGCAAACTCGACTATCGCCGTTCTGCTGCGAATTGCCTGCATTCCACAATGGCGTCACCACTTAGCCCAGAAGCGGCCCTGGACATGCTCCAAGCCACCGCCCTCACCGCCCGCTGCCACAACGCCTTCTTCCGCCAGAAGCAGCTCAAGACGCTGCACGACACGCTGCGCAAGAACAGCAATTCCATCCGCGATGCCATCAAGCAGGACACGCACGTCACCGACGACGAGGCCACCACCGAGGTGGCCCTTGTGCTGGACCTCGTCAAAGAGCACTACGACTCGCTTGACGCCACCAAAGAACTCGAGGCCGAGTACAGCCTCACAAACGGCAAAAACGCCGCCGACCGAAGATTTCCCTGGGGGGTTGTCTACGTTGAGCCGCAAAAAAGCCACACGCCCTTCTTTTCGGCCCTCTCGCCTGTGAGCGCCGCCATTGCAGCCGGTTCTTGTGTGGCGCTCAAGGTCAGTTCGGATGCATTCCCCATGTCCTGACGACACAGCTAACGCCTCGGCAGCTTGAAAACAACCTCCGTGCTCTTCCCTCGCTGCTCCGGAAACTGCTCAGGGAGGCGCTCGAGTCGGATACGTTCCTCATCATCGCATCTGACCCATCGCCCCAATCGCTTGCAGGATGCCTCCAAGTCTTCCAAGAAACGCAAATCAGCCAGCCATCATACTCGCAGCACGTGTCGCCTCGCGGCAAGGTCGTGGCAGTCGTCGACCGAACCGCAGACCTCGCTGCCGCCGCCGAGCAACTGATCACGGCGCGCTTTGCATTCGGCGGCACATCACCGTATGCGCCCGACATTGTCCTCGTCAACGAGTTCATCAAGAAAGACTTCCTCGAGCACCTTCTCAAGAACTCGTTCCGCTTCCTCGCCGGCTCCGGCACCGTCTCCAACGGAACTACAAAAGCCAATCAGCGACCGTCCAGAATCAGCGACACCTTCAACGCCCTCTCAGAAAGCAAGTCGTGGAAGGTCAGCGTCATTACCCAGGGCGACAACGGCGCCATTCTCGATCTCACAAACCTGCTCGCCCTCCCGCCCAAGTCCGAACAGCCCGTCTTCTGCGTCTCCGCCATCACCTCGCTCGAGCACGCCATCAGCCTCGTCGAAGACGACCTGGAGCCGCAGGAGAGCCTCCTGGCTGGCTACCACTTTGGCACGGCGTCGATAGACAAGTACCTCTCACAATTCATTGTTGCAAACGCCTCGTTCGGCAACCACATCCCCTTCCGTCTTCTCCTCGGCCCGCCCGCCCCCCTGTCGCAGCCCTTTGACGTCGAAAAGAGGTATACCCCGCAGCAATTCATGCGCCTTTCGCCCGCGTACATCAGCGCCCCGCCCTCGCAGACGGCAATGGCCAAGCTGCTGTCCGGCAAGGACTCGAGCAAAGTAGCGAATGAGGTGCTGCGCAGGGCGACGCAGGAAATCAAGGAGAAGAAACGTCCCTTTACGATTACATGGGGTTATTTCGAAAAGGGCTTGTTGATTGGCCTGGGTGTCTATGGTATCCCCCTGCTGACGTGTATTGGCGCGACGCTGTTCCTTGGTGTTAGGGCGGGACTGAGGAAATTCGCCATCATCTGAGTTCAAATTAGATTTTCTTTTGTTTGACTTTTGTTTGTAAAATGTATGTTTCGATTCAAGCGTAGCAATTTATTCTCCAAGTTTCTTTTCCTCACGGGACTTTTGTGTGTGTGTGTGTGTGTGTGGAATCATGGTAGGGCTTTGTACGGCAACAACGACCGAGTTCACTGATGACTAACGCGTGATATTGATTGTGATTCATACACCTCATTCAATCGACACATGTCCTTCACAAACCACGTTTGCCCGTGAAGCTAGCCTAGCATACACAGACTACTTACACTACGCCAATAACCCCACGTGCAATGCCGCAACACATCGGGATATCCTAATCCAACATTTCCGGCACCCACTTGGCCGTCCAGATCCTCAGCCTCTTGCCCCACACCATCATAGGCACAGTCCCCAACGCAAACAAGCCCATCAACATGGCGAAAATGCCAAACGGCTCCGCGGCCCCCTTATCTGTAACCCAGCCGCCTACAAAAAACGTCCACGCAAAACTCACCACGGCACGCGTCGAAGTAATCGCCACAAAGCAGTCACCCGCAAGCGGGCCATACGACTCAATGACGTAGTTGAAGCCCACGGACGGCCCCTGCATGAGGCCGAAAGACACGAGCCCAAATCCAAATTCCAGGCAGACCCAGCCGTTTGGCGAGGGGTTCTTGGCTACAAAGCCGAAAACGAGGGCGCCTGCTGTCGAGATAAAGAGGGCTGGGAGCGCGGTGACGAGACGGCTTTCGGGTTCCGTAAGACCTTCGGGGTCTTTTTTCGCGAGCCGCTTGAGCATGAAGTCGGTGATGAGGTAGGTGTAAGCCTAAAGCACGTGTGTTAGATGGGGGGTGGGAAGAGTAAGCAGATCAACTTACGCAGCCGAGGAGAGACCCGATCAGACCGCCGACGTTGATGAGACCTACGCCGCGGCCCCAGTTGTAGGGCGGTGCGGCGACGATTTGAGGGCCTACGCTCGACATGGTGACCTGGTCATGTTAGCAAGCGTGTCTTTTCGTCTATTCACGTCGTCTTACAATCAGCCCAACCAGACCTGCATACCAGCCCGACACGAGCCACACTCCCGGTAGCCGGAGGACTTTGTACGGACCCATGAACTTGTTGACGATTCCCGGACGGTATGAGATCAGTCTCAGAGAGCGAAGGTACGAGTATGGAGGATATGATGGCACTGCTTCAGTGGTGATGACACTCTCCTTTGCCTCGCCAGCCTTTTCACTCGGGTCCTCGCTTTCGCACGCACGTATGACTGCCGGGCGGTCATACAGCGTCTCAGCCTGGAACACGAGGCAGAGGACGAAATTGATGGACGCCAGCAAAACGTTCATCCAGTTGAGCCAGGGAAGTCCCATACTAGAGACTATGTAACCTCCCGCGATGGCGCCGACCAGCGACCCTATGGCGAGGAAGACGGTGTAAATAGCGAGAGCACGTCCCCGCTGGTGAACGAAGAAGATCTCACCCACGACCTCCGGACTCACGGCATCGGCAGGCCCGCTGCCGATACCCATGAACAAGCGGGCCGCCAGCAGACTGTTGAAGCTTGTTGCTAAGCCCGCCCACATGCTCGACAGAATCAGCAGCAGCAAGCTACCGAGAATCACGGGCCGCCGCCCAAACGTGTTGGATAGCGGTACCCACCACAGGTTCGACACACCCATCATCAGGATGTTGACAGCGACCAGGTATGTCAGCTGCGAGAAGCGCTTGGGCGGGTACCCGAATATGCCCGAGGACTCGTAGATGGGCAGCACGCTCGATGTCGACGAGCTGGCAAAGTTGACGACAAACGGGTGCAACGACATGACGGCCAGTATGGCCAGTTTGCGCCACATGGGCAGGTTCAGCGGGTCCGCCGGGTCCGCCGTCGGCTGCGGTATAAGCCGGATTTCATCATGACCCGTCTGAGATGCCGTCCACTCGAGGTGTTCTGGGGGAGCCGTCAGCATCAGCGTCAGCCACTCCAACCAAGCAAAGCAAAAAAAAGCTTGTTCTGACAACTTCACTTACCCACTAGAGTAGCTGTTCCAGGGGGTCTAGCTTGGCGCACCTCCTCTTTGGAAAGCTTCAACGCGACACCCAGCGATGTCATGGTAGTGTAGCCTTGTAGTAAAGGGAAAACTCTACTTCAAGTCGGTAGGTCTGTCTGGAGAAGGGGGGACGCCCAACATGGTGGCTTGCCAGTCTACATAAATACCCGTGTTACGGGGAAGACGCGTTTGCTAACCGCCATGGACTGGCGTCGACAATCCCACCTGGCCCTAGGGTACTTTCGGGCTATCTACAAAAGCGGTAAAGGTGTGAATTGCGCGGCCGTCGCTCCCTTCCATCCTTCGACACACCCACTGACATACCCCCCTGTTGGCGTGGTCACGACTGCCAACCCGGAGCTTGATTTTGTTCCCCACGGAGAATACTATTACGCCCCGTACATTGAGTCCTGCACATGTCCGTCGGTTGAGCTCTGGTATATCCGGGTTCTTCTTTTTTTTTCCAAAAAAAACAGTGCCAAGGTATAATACACACTACGTACATACGTAACGCTTCTAGGTACACACACACACACACACAAACGCGGCGCTAAAAACACTTGCTACGTACGTACTCTTGTTTCAGAAATCCCAAGGGAGCTAGAGTTTCACATGCAATTTTTTTTCTTCTTCTTCTTCTCCTCCTTCTAAACATTGTACTTGTGTACGTGAGAGCCACATCACGACTGCCGTCCCGACTTTGAGTGTGCTAAATCCTAACCTTCCTGCTCACCCATGCATGCACCCACACACACCAACGAGAATCTCGAGAGTTCCCTTCGTACCCCAGATCCGTCCGGCTTTTTTCCCGCCTCCTTTGATCTGGGGTAGACTCGCTCGGAATGTGGGGAGATGACGTACCACCACCGCACATGCATTCGTACACAGATAGATCGATGGAGAGATAGATACGGAGGTGACTGTCAAAAGTTCTTGCTGACAGGGGTGCATTGATTACCGCCGAAAATAGGGCCGAAGCTATGTAGATCAGTCCCGCCGCCCCTCTTTATACTTATTACTACCTTTAAGTTTAATAATTTCTTATATATAAAATAAAATACGCTCTATTCAAGCTTAAATTTAGTATTAAGGTAGCTTATCTTAGTTAGCGTGGCGAATGGGTCTCCACCTCGGGATCTCTTTTTCCACGATAGCTCTCCAAGTACTAGGCCTAATTAGGCAATTGATAACTTATTTTATAGTCCTAATATAGGTCTATAACTAGCTTATATAAAGTATTACACTAACTAGAATAGGTAAGAAGTTATTAGCCTACCCACCTTGCCAAGACTTGGGTCTCCACATGCTAGCCCGAAGAGGCATAACTCACTACCTATTAGAGCTAGCCTACTTCTCTATACTAGTTAGTTATAGATCTGTATTAGGGCTACAAAATCAGCTATTAATTGCCTAATTTGGTCTAGTACTCGGAGAGCTATAGTGGAAAAAGAGATCCCGAGGTGGAGACCCATTCGCCACGCTAATTAGGCATACGTTAGGCTTAAAGCCTTACTAGTAGGCTCTACTATAAATTAAGTTAATTATATATAGTAATATGCCTATTATATTTATAATTTTATATATAAATTTACTACTAAAAAGTAACTTTGATATAATAATAAAAAAGCAAGTTAATATATCTATATTTAGAGCTATAGTAAATTAAAAACATTTAAAAAAATAAGTGTATAAGCTATTGCTAGCTTTAAAAAATTAGTGTAGGCGCCAAGAGTAGTTAGGCTAATAGGCTAGCAGCTTAGCGTGGCGCTAGCAAGAACTTTTGACAGTCACCTCCGTAGTTACTGCTTATCACTCACGGTAGATCCGCAGTGGGCCCCCCGAGGACCCCAAAGCGCTACTCTCCGTGTGGCTCAAAAGGAGGGGAGAGGGGGGGGGGACCGGCAGTGGAGTCAACAAAGAAAAAAAAAGAGGCCAAGTTTTTTTTTTACAATGGGTCCGCGTCCGCGCCCGGATCTGAATTAGTAAAGAGTAGTGCTGAGTGTCTACGTATGTACTCGGCTGGCTGACCGGCACTTGTGTTTGGGGGAAGAGACAGGCAGACAGACACACACACACACACAGAGAGAGAGAGAGAGAGAGAGAGAGAGAGCAGACCCTTGCAAGACTTGTCTCGGTGGCTAAACAATGTCCGGGGCCCCCGACTCCTCACACACACTGACACACTGACACACGCACACCGAGCATCTGACGGCTAGACCCGGACGTACCCATGTTGACTAGTGTATTCATGTACCATGGCAAGGTCGATGGGGCGAAGCTTTCAGGATTATGCACACGCGGAGGGAAGAGATAATGCACAAGTACAGTAGTACCGCAACCGGTGGATCTGCGGTCATCAAGACGAAACGGGCAGGTCAGAACAATACTTGTCGAAAATGCATGTGCGTTGCTGATAGATGGACTGGTGCATGTGCTAGCTTCAAAAGGGGGGACGGGGAGAGGGTCTTTATAAGTTTAGCCTATGCGCGTGCGGTAAAATGTTGGGGCGCGTCAAGTATCATTTTGATTTTCCCTTCCTTCTGCCTACATCCATACATACATAGCCGGGCGTCAATATTATGCAATATGCTTTTTGTTGAATTATTTGATTGCAGAGCGCAAGCCTTCCAGCAGCTGCACCAAGTTGCCCACGAGCGGGGGACACAGTTCTGAAGTGTCCTGGCGTGCTCGGAGAAGACTGATCAGTCCGTCCATGACTCCACAGACATCGTTGAGTTGGGTCGGTTCTTGCGAACCGTGCACCTTGATCGATGGGATACCGCGATCCAGTGTGATGAATTTGCGGGCGCTCAGTGAGTCGTCGCTGTTCAGTACAACGGGCGTATCGATATGTGTTTGTTCCTGCGGAACGGATCGCTTGAGGAATCCATAACACCATAGAATCAGCCCGGCATGGTAGACAGCAATGGCGTTGAAGTTGTTCAGCAAAGCTCTCGGTAGCAGCTCGGCTGCGCGCAGGACCTGACCCGCATGCCATAGCGCTTGACGTGCAACAGACGACTTCAGCCATTCTTGCAGACCAGAGTATGCAGTGCGTGCTTCTTCCTGTCCTTCAATGCCTGCAAAGAGCTGAATGTCATCCAGAGGTGCATTAAGATGGACCAGCATGATCTCTAGGATTATCTCAACGCTCGTGCTCATGGGCGGGCAGCTGAGTCTAAAGTCATCGAGCTGCTTGGTGAGCTCTTGGTAGCGCGAAGACAGTATGAGGCTGTGGTTGGATGCCGAGTGCGACCTGGACATTACGGTGCACATCTGGCGATATTCCCAGATGGTGCCCCATATCATGTAGAGATACGTGTGACTGGCAAAGTCATGGTGCGAAAGATGCTCCAGGTTGACGAAGCATTCCATCGCCGAGGGTCTCTTCGCTGTCTTTGCTGCCATATTCATGTACGCCGCCTTCCAGCTGGCTGCTGTTTTAGCCTGCCATAGAGCGTTGGCGCTTGGTAATGGAGGCTGCATCTCGGCATAGGATATTAACGGCGGCTTGAGAAGTGCCATTGAGGATTGTCTGTCAAACTCGAACGTGCGATGGATGAGGCGAAGGAACGACTCTTGGTCTATCCAACTTCGCCATTTGCTCTCCAAAGCGGGCCCTTGTTCGTCCGGCTCCGGAGAGATTTCCTTCCATGTCGATCGGCGGAAACGGCCGCCCCGCCGAAGCATCGTTATCAGCGGCTGCAGGAAGCTTTCTGCAATCTCCATTTTCCGGCTAATACCACTCCACATACCCACTCCGAGCTGGCAAAAGATGGTTTGCAGATGTTGAAGGTCTCTAATCGCCGTGTTGTCTTCCTCAATTGCCTTGGTCTGTCCTATCCGGGAAGCCTCGTGCAGGGCATACCCAAGCTTTCGCAAAGATATGTCGGGGATGGTTGAAGCTCCAGCAGATGCTATGCTAGCAAGCAACTCTGGATTCAGTTTCGAAGGAGAGAAGGTCGGAAGGTGGAACAACATCGGTGCCTCCAGAGAAGGCGACGAAAGATAGTACTGGATCAGCCCATCAAGCAACTCGATACTGGGGAAAGCTGATGAGATCTTTTTGACATTTTCCGGGGTGCATGTAACCAGGACCAGAGCCATAAGCCGGTCTCGGCTGGCACGTGATAGTCTGCAGAAAACAACATATTAGCGACAGGACTTTCCACCAGGAACTACTAGACTGACTTTTCTGATATCACTCTGCGATGCGCAATGTGTGAGCGCCGATTCCCGTATTTCTCCGTCTCTGAAAAGGCCATGTTGACCTGTTCCGCACTGGGATTCCTCATAGAGGTATGTGGAAGATAGCGCCATATGCTCTGCTTGAAAGCCTCTGCTCTCCCTGATGCCGTGTCTGCCTCTGGGAGATGATTCTCATTACTGTGCGCATCGGTAGACGGCGTGTCGGCGGCAAAGGGGACCTGAAAATTGTAATGATCAAGCAGTCCAAGATCAATGTCAGTAAGGCCAACATCGATATCAAAGCTGAGATCCAGGATGCCACGTGGTGTTGCCTGGCCGGACAGAAAAGACTCGAATGGCGGCATATTTCGAAAGGGGTCTGGTAGGAACGAATTTGGATCGGGCGTATGCCCAAACTCCGACATGGAGTTGTCGAAAAAGGCCATAGACGGTGTCTGGTCGTGATCTTCATAATGGTGGTTCATTGTGACAAGCTCGGTGCTGGTGCTGGGCGGTGGTTGCATGCTGCTCATGACTGGTACAGTTGGGCCGGATTTTCCATGAGTGATGGGGTGGTCATTGATCCCATGAGTGTCTGCAATGGGTGCATGTTGGGAATTGTGAAACGGTTCCGGGGTCTGTGAGGTTGCAGACACAGATGGGTTGACACTTCCGTTATGACTTGGCAGTGATGAGGGGTAATCGAACCCATTGGACAGGTCGAGCAGATCTTGCGCCGCGTGTACAGCATCAATCTCGTGAACCTCACTGTCCTCTGTGGCAAGCGTTTCGGGCACCCTGCATGGGATGTCCTTCTTTTTGCACCGAGTGCATGGCTTCTCGTCTTCACACCGAAGATGGCTTTGCGAACAGGCCTCGCACGCCTGGACCACTCTCGTGTCGCGCGAGATACCGCGCTTTTGTCGCTTGTTGGCGGGCTCTGTGTCGTGATTTGCTACATGACGTTTGAGCAAGTCTCTGCGGCATGTCAGATGGGTCTTGGGGCAATGCAATGGAGCGAAAAAGCAATGCGCAACACTTACATCCGGGCAAAGCCTTTGGAGCAGACAGGGCAGATATACGGCTTCGACTTTGTGTCTATGTAAGCTGGATCAGCGCAGCGTCCACATATAGCTAAACATGGGACATGTGGTCTTGCGAAGGCTGCACGTCCTCGAAGCCAAGCATGTGCGTGTGCGGGAGCGCGGACACCTGGGTTGCTTTGGAGCAAGAGAGTAGAGATAGCTGCGAGGCATATCACGAGAGGACTGGACGTTGCGAGAGCGGCCCTCGAGGTGGATATGCGTGGCAGACTCGTCCAGCTAGGCGCCCACGAGCAACAAGCGACGGCATAGATACGGCTCTAGCGCGATCGATCTTGTGAAGCGGCGCAAGGATGCAGAACAAAGGACTTACGCGCTCTCACGTGTCGCGTGAGGTGGTCGACTCTGGTGAAGGATCGCTTGCACGTGCTGCACTGGAAGAGACGGGCCTGGTCGGCTTCAGTCTCAGCATCGGCTGGCTGGTGAGATGGTGCTTGTGTTGGGCCTGCTTGCATCATTCGAGCTTACTATCGGGAAAGTTTGAGGGAGGACAGCATCGGGGCTGGGAAGTGGAGGGGAGATAGGTAAGTGTGTGGGGAGAGAATGCGGAGTCGGGGTGAGCGGTGCCCAGACGCGGGTGGCGGAACCGGAAGCTGCCGGCCTCGGCCCATGCACCGCCGCCTGGAGACTGCCTGCCCTGCCTCCCCCTATCCCGTTTCCGTTTCACGTATCGTGTCCTTGTTCTTTTGGGCGCCCACTGTCGTTTTTGGTCGTCGCGTGTCCCGCCGCCGTGGGCCGCAGACAGCCTGTACGAGTCAATCAAAGCCATCCACATTCGGCCCGCACGACGCGTCGTCGCAGTCAGCTCAGCCATCTCCCCCACATCACGAATCTCACCATGGGACACGGCCAGCCCAAGCATCTCACAGCTCCGGCCGGGACAAGTAAAGCTCCGCAGAGCCCGTGTTGCGACAAGGACGGCCTATATCACTCGCAGCGTCGAAGATGCAGCGACATTGTCCATATCCGACAGCCATAGCACGGGTGCCGCCACGGGTACATTCACCACCACGACTCGTCGACGCCACCATCGACACCAATACCAACACCGCAGCCATGACCCCACCGGTTTTCTTCTTCTCCCATGGCTCGACCATGATGCTTGGCGAAGAGTCCAGATCCGCCACCTACTGGAAAGCCTGCGGCGACGAGGCCCTGTCCCACGGCTTCAAGGGCGTCATCATGATGGGCGCCCACTGGGACGCCGTCGGCGTCAACCGCATTGATGTGTGCATGAACCCCAAGCCCGAAAAGTCGCCCGTCGCCTACGTGCACCCCCGCAAATACCAACACTACGAACTCAACCCCGACCTCGAGACGGGCAAGAAATGCATTGCCACGCTGCGCGAAAACGGCATCGACGCACGCCCAAACGAAACGTTTGACTGGATCCACGACACATACCTGATTCTCATCCGCATGTTTCCCGAAAAGTGCCCCCCGACCACCATCATCAGCATGAACTCGAGATTCGACCCGCATCTGCACGCCCGCGTCGGCAGCATCCTGTCCAAGTTCCGCGATGAAGGATACCTGATCATCGGTACCGGCGGCGCAGTCCACAACCTCTACCGCAACCACTGGGGCCAGATGATCAAGTACTCGGACAACTTTGGCCAGCCGTACCCGCCCGAAGCGCCCATGCTCGAGTTCCGCCAGTGCGTCGAAGACGTCTTTATCAGGTCCTGCAGGAAGGATGCGAAGAAGGGAAGTCTGACGAGGGGCATTACGCGATTGATGAAGCATCCCATGTTCAGGGATGCGCATGCCACCGACGACCATTACATGGCTGCATGCTTTACCGCGGGTGTTGTGGATGGAAGCAGGAAGCCGACAGACGAGTGTGTGCTTGGTGCCGAGGACTGGGAGCTGGTCAACATGTGCAACAGCCAGTTTACAATTGGCAAGTGGACGTAGAAGTTTGTCGTCGTCGTCGTCATTGTTGTGGTTGTTGTTGTCTCGATATATATACCAACGGTCAATGCGTTTTCTTAGTTTCTTCCATACACTCATAGTATGCCAAGGGTATATTTAGAATTCCATGTTGTTATTCCTATACAGTCTTGGTAGATGAATCAAGCTTTCGTCTCACTGTGGCGCAAAATTAGGACAACATGCGTGTTTAATTCCTCATGTTAAGATTCAAGGATGCTGTGGATCACTGCTGATTCATGTGCTGTACGCATCAGGCCACCTGCCTCTCTTTTCAGCTTGTTGAGAAGTGAAATAGCGGATGACTTGCGTAAACACTATGGTATGTACAAGACTTTTTTTTTCTCTCTCTCTCTCTCTCTCTTCTCCTGTATATACGGCCACGGGTAATAAATAGGTAAGTATATCCATGAAAGGAAAGCAGTAATAATATAAAAATCTTGGTTGGATGTCATTCACCCCCATCTATCCATATCTACGGACTTTCTATTTCGGCGGCACAATCGGCAGCGTGACATAGTTGAGCGCCGTGTTACTAAAATGCAGGTGATTCCATCCGGCCAGCTTCTCGACGCTGCGGTCCTCGGGGTGGTTATGCTGGAAGATGCCACTGCCCTGGGTATCTCCACTGCTGACTTCAAACACAATCTTGCCGCCCTTCTCGACGATGACATTGGTAGGCCACACCTCGACGTCGACGGCGTACACGTCGCCGGGCACCACGGGCAGCACGTCGGTGCTGAAGTAGTCGCGCCACGGCAGATACGGCCGGTGCTTGGGATGCTCCGGGTTCGTCTTGCGCATGCTGACGCGCAGCCAGCCCTTGGCCAGCGGGATCGGGTCGCCTGCCGTACCCGTGTAGTAGACTTCCTTGCCCTCGGGCGAGATGTAGCGCAGAGTCAGGAACAGATCGATATCAGAAGGCGTGTCGTGGGCTGCGTCCGCCGAAAGCGACACATTCAAGTGCGCGACAATGTGTCCGGTAATCTCAGTCTCCTCCTCGAACGGCGCAGTGGTAAACTGGATGGCCTTGGGGTTGTCCAGCGTACCGAGAGCCTCGTACGTGAGCTTCTGCGGCCGAGGCGTAATGGGCTCGACTTGGGTGAGGGTCTGGGAGGGCGTGAGGTAGAATTTTGTGTAGCGCGTTCGGGCAATGGGCCACTCGTTCTCAGTGCGTCGCTCGTACACCTTTTCCTTCTCCGCGTCGTCGAAGCCCACGTCGCCCTTGCGCAGAACCATGTCGACGGCAGGCAGCTTGCCCTTTACTGACCAGCCCACTCGGTCGTCGCCCTTGAGGAACGCATCGAGGAAGCTTCGTTGCACCTCGACTTCTTCCTTGTAGTAAAAGGGCAGGTCGTGTCGTCCTGTGATCATTCGTAGGTATTTGAACTCAGATCCAGCGTTGACGTAGCCTTCGATGTTGCCGCGAAGATGCAGCAGAATGCCACCCCAGTTACCGACTGAGAGCAGCGGTACTTCAATGTCGCTCATGTGGTACTCTTTGCTAGCGTAGTATTTCTCGTCACGGAACTTGAACTTTGCTGTGTCGATAGTCTGGTCTTGTCGGTTGCGTTCGCGGACCTCTTCAGAGAGATCTCCGTCGACGGTGTCTGGGCCCCAGTTTCGTGCTGCGCGGCCTGGACGACCGTACTGATTTGTGATGACCTGGCGGTTCCTAGAAGCATGTTGTGAGCATTGGCTTTCTTCCTAGATACAGCGATCGAGACTTACCACCAAAAGTCGATGAACTTGTTACTCAGGATACCGCCGTGACGGCACCTGTCTCGGTAGTAGTCACTCATGCCCTCCCACGGTATTATCGCAGCCAATCCCTTGGGCTTGCGCGCTGCTACACGCCATTGTGATCCAGCATAGTAACTGATACCCAGCAAGCCGACCTTGCCAGACGACCAGGGCTGCTCAGCTGCCCACTCGACAACATCGAAGAAGGCCTCGCTAGTTCCTCTTGACATAGTATCCAAGAAGCCTGGAGACTGACCGAGCCCACGCTCATCAGCGCGCACAATGACATAGTCGTGTTTCGTCCAGAAACCCGGGTCTGGTGTTTCCCACGCAGAGTGATCAGAGTGGTGTTCGGGGTTGACTTCTGAGTATGACTTTGCATGGAAGCTGGGAATTGTTAGCCATTGCATGTAATGACAAAATGTAGTCCCACGTACTCTTTGTAGTGAATGTCTTTTCCGTATGGGCCATAAGTTACCAACACGGGGAACTTGGCACCGTCTTTTGTGGATTTCGGACGGTAAACATTGCAGCGGATAATGCCTTTAGACGATGTTTTCAGCGGCACCACAGCATTCTCCTCGTAGATGTAAGGAAACGACGACTCGTCAATCTTGTGCGCATCTTTGACTTCTAGCTGTTCCGCCATTTTGCAAGTGGAGATCAAGGAAAAAGGAGCTCAATTCTGCAGATATTTTCGCAAGGGCAATTGGGTATGAAAAAAAAGCTCAACTCGTAGATAATTTTTTTTAGGAGGTTTGGATTTTAAGACCCTTCGTGACGTGTTGTGAGTCCGGGTGCCGACAACGCGCGCCGCGATCGAGGGGCAGCATTGGAGGGGGGAAGTCTCGGGATGTGGAGCGAGGATTCGATCACGCATTCATATGGCGCAGTACTGCCGGCCAATGCGGCCCCGAAGGTACATACTAGTATCGCATTGTACCCCACTACGTGGATTGGCTTGTTCCCTGCATCTAACCCCGTACGAATATGCGTCTTTCCCGTATAGTAAGGTGTGCGGAATGCTCGTTCTTACGGTACCCGAGGTTACGCGATTGCGACACCGTAGCTGCTTTGTCAGACCCGACATCTACTTCACGGATACGCTACTGAGGCTCAAGCTTGGCCGCAGTCGGCCGTCTCAGCCACGAATTGGGCTTAAAGCGGTATGTTGCAACACTTGTCACACAGTGTCACATCGCTAATAATTTCTTTCAGTCTCGAGGAGCACAGCAAGGTCGACGGCGCCGCTTACTAGTAACCTGGGGCCTTCATTGCATTGAAAGCACTTGTTGAAATCACATCTTGCTCCTTAGGGTATGGTTCACATCGCACAAAAGGCGTGTTGGCTTAAATTCATATCTACAGCAGCGAAAATCCACTACGTCGACGGCGGAACGCCCTCCATGGTACCGTAGTCTTCCTTCAAAGCCTCTCCATCGAGTACTACCGGCTTGCATTCCTGGAGCACGAACATCATCCGCCCCCAAGTTGTGGGGCTCGGGTTCCTCCACGCATGCATTGTGCCTCTCTGGATCGCAACATCGCCTCGCTTCATCTTCTGCACCTCTCCCGAATCCAGCACCAACTCCAGCTCGCCCTCCAAGACTACGCCATAGTCTAGCGACACAGTCCTGTGCATTGGCGATATGTAGCCAGGCATTATGTCTACGAAACGAAGGACGGTACCTCCTGAAACGACGAGGCCTGGAGCACTCTCCAGGTATGGCTTGTAGACTTGCAGGTCGGCGTCGTTGTTCAATTCGACGGGAAATCCTTTTGTGACGTATCCAAGTCGGAAATCAGCAGCGGGGACGGGATCGACTCTGTGCTCTGGGGCAATGGCATGGGAGATGATGGCTTTCTTTGTGACAGGATCATGGGTTGTGATGTAGCGCTTGATCTCGGGGAGGTCGTTGGGGATATCGGTTGTAGTGGCCATGTTTGCAGAATGTGGTGAAGGGGTGTGAAGGGAGAGAGATGGTGCTGTTCTAAACGACTTTGCAGTAACAAGTGATTGCAGCAACGAGTAATTGCAAGAGAATAGAATAGGACATGTAGAAACAGGAGAGAGGCCAGAGACAAATGTAAAAGACCCCTCTGCAGTCTTCCGATGTGGAGGGCACCTCGATCAACACCTGTGCCACTTGCATCTGCCGACGTATCGGCACCATCTCCGCGCGGGGGCTTACTTAATGCGTGCATGGTGCACACCATGGTCCTACAAGTGGTTGGCGGGTACCTTTGCCACGTCTGGGGTTTGCAAAGCTTCTACTGTACCAGGGTAGCCAGCGCGGGGCATCCGACGGCTGCTATGCATCTCGAGTTTAGTTCTCGGCCTTTGTTGTCGGCCTTTGTTGTGTGCCGATTGATACTTACCAACCTTCAGCGCAAGGGATCCGATGTGGAGGTCTTCCATCCGAAACATGTACTATGGGTAACCCCGCACATGGACGGTGGTCAGTACCAGATCCCGGTATAGAGATCAGCTGAAGAGCCTCAGATACTACTGAATCATCGCAAGCCAAGTGTTGCATTATTCCATCGTCCATTCATTGCCAATTCACCTCAATAATCAATCTTCTACGGCTACAATGGCGGACGGATACGCATCGCATTTTGGCATCAACAACATACCTTATGGCGTTGCCAGTTCCTCCAAACGGTCAAGCCCACAATGCGCAACGCGTATTGGGGATGAGGTTATTTTTCTTGCAGAGCTCGCCGAGCACGATGCCTTCAAAGCAATCTCAGCATCATTATCCTCCATCTTTCGCGAATCCACGTTGAACAGCTTCGCAGCGCTATCCAAAGACACACAGCGACAGGTTCGATCAGCAATTCAAGAGGCGTACAAGAACAACTTGCACAAGGATTACTCAGAAAGCATCAAGGACGTGAGCCTGCATGTGCCAGTCCACGTTGGCGACTTTACAGATTACAGCGCGTCAGCAAATCATGTGCTCAACGCCGGAGAGGCGATAATGGGAGTGCGTTCATTCCCACCCGCATTCAAAAAGTATCCAGTGGGCTACGCAGGTCGATCTTCGTCGATTGTAGTTTCGGGCACACCAGTCACACGGCCCCTGGGCCAGTTCATAGAGGACTACACAGCTCCTGAGAAGAAAGTCATTTTTGGCCCTTGCCGAAGCCTAGACTACGAGATGGAAATTTCGGCAGTCATTGGCAAGCCCGTCGAGCCAAACACAATTCTGCATGCAAAAGACGCAGATGAGCACATTTTCGGGCTCGTCTTACTCAACGACTGGAGCGCTCGAGACATTCAGGGCCTGGAAATGAATCCCCTGGGTCCTATCAACGGCAAGAACTTTATGACTTCCGTGTCGCCCTGGATCGTGACTCTCGATGCGTTGGCTCCCTTTGCAGTGCCTGCACAAGAGCGCATGGAGCCCGTGGCCACGTACCTGGACGATCCCGCCAGCATAGTCTACAACATTGCGCTCGAGGGCCAGGTCATCAGGAATGGAGCTCAGACAACAACGTGTAAAGTGAATTTCGACACAATGTACTGGACGTTCAGACACATGCTCGCGCACCATACAATTGGCGGGTGCAATCTCAGGACGGGCGACTTGGTCGCGTGTGGCACGGTATCAGGCCAGCAGGACCATGAGCATGGGTGCTTACTTGAGCTTACCAAGAACGGACGGGTCCCGACTAAGCTGAGCGACGGGTCAGAACTGCGTTTCCTCGAAGACGGAGACGAAGTGCGGTACATTGGGGTGTCTGGCGACGGAGTGGGATTTGGAGCTTGTGTTGGCAGTGTGAAAGCCGCGCCGAAGATATAAGAGTGGCGGTGAAGATGTTGTATGAAGATGTTCATGTCGCCGTATGGAATACGGTTAGCCGGTGATGACATGGTTTGATACGTTGGGCAGTCGACCGTTGTTCCGGCACCGCCCGGCTTTGACATATAGTACCCGGTTGATAGACTTTGTACGAAGTACGCATGTCTGTACGAAGTACGCACGCTTGTACGAAATACGCATGCAAGGCGTTGACAGTCAGCCCGAAAATAAGCAGCACATACTTATTATGTTCTGTAAGCCCTAGCAACGTGTATATCGGGCGCGTGATTCGTCCACTTGCTCATTTCTCAAGCAGTTAGATGTGCATAATTCTGTTGCTGTGTCGAGCGACCAACCCAGCGGAATGACGCCCAAGTCCGCTTCCACCTTGGGCTATCCACGAAGACGAGACTTGGGTACCTGTCTGCAGAGATCGATCGGTTCTTTGTTGCATCGCTTTGATCGCGCCGATGGCCGTCATTCAGATCGGACGTGGGAGCTTGTGCTGGCAGGCAGCACGTGCCATGCCTGCAGGGCCCAGTTCCGACAGCTGCGTTCTCCGATTGGTGCGTTGTTAGATCCAGCTAGTCCTCATCAGGCATGTACGTGCAACCCCTAAAATTGTACATCTCGTCAACAAACATCGAATTGCACCTTTGTCTTGCCGTCTGCCATTGGCTCCTTGCGCTGCCTCGTCAATTGTAATGGGCGTGCTGTGACGAAACACGCTTGGCTCCTCCACCTTACCCAGTCTTTCTTTCGCCCATTTCATTATCGCCTGCAGGGTTTTTGCGAGCGGCCCCAGGTACATAGACGCGTTGCTACAGCCACCTACGCGCAACAACCATGTCATCGCGAGTAACCCGATCACAGACCGGCAAGACGCCAGTGTAAGTTTGTTTGCCGTTGCTGCAACCCGCCCCCACTGCACATACATGAACAGTGCGTGCTGACATGCATAAATACAGCAAGCCCGAACGCCCTGGCTTCGTCGAGACTCCCGGCCGCAGGAGGTCACAGCGGCGCAAATCCGTCGTAGCTGACGACGACACCTTCGAATCCACACCAGAACCCGAACAACTCCAAACGTCAAGAGACACCACCATGAGGCTTGAGAAAGACAATGCCGCCAATGGCTATGCAAACGGCAACGGAACTGCAAACGGCCACTCCAACGGAAGCGCAAATGGCCACTCCAAGCAAGAGATCATCGAGCTGGACTACAGAGGCGAGGCGGAAAAATTTTTCGCTCCCAAAGACTCTTCAGGTCTGAACGAGTTTGGCGGCGCCTTTGGTATGAGCGCCATGATGATTTGCTTCCCGGCCCTCATGTACTACATGTGGATTGGAGCCACCTTTTACGACGGCAAATTCCCCTCGCGCGTCGAGGGCCAGAGCTGGCAAGACTTTTTCGCCCACATGTGGTACCTGGTCAAGACGGAGGCGTACCCCAGCAACAAGGCATGGCAGATTTACTGGTTCTTCGGATTGATGCAGATGGCTTTTTACATGTTTATGCCTGGTGTGTACCGCAAGGGCAAGGCGCTGCCGCACCTGGATGGAAAGCAGCTCGACTACTACTGCTCGGCCATGTGGTCGTTTTACTCGAGCATCGTCATCATGCTGGTGCTCCACTTTACCGACGTATTCAGGCTGTACACGCTGATTGACGAGTTTGGCCACATCATGAGTGTAGCCATCCTTTCTGGTTTCCTGTGCTCGGCCATTGCCTACGTCTCGGCTCGTGTGCGCGGCGCCACGGTGCGCATGACAGACAACCTCATTGTCGACTTCTTCCTTGGCTCCGAGCTCAACCCGCGTCTCTTTGGCATCCTGGACTTTAAGATGTTCCTCGAAGTCCGGATCCCGTGGTTCATCCTCTTCTTCCTCTCGCTCGGCACGTGCCTGAAGCAGTACGAGCAATACGGCTACGTGTCCATGGAAGCCATCTTCCTGCTCTTCGCGCACTACCTGTATGCCGGGGCGTGCGCCAAGGGCGAGCACCTCATCATCACAACCTGGGACATGTACTACGAGAAGCTGGGCTTCATGCTCATTTTCTGGAACATGGCGGGCGTTCCCCTCTCATACTGCCACTGCACCCTCTTCATCGCGTACCACGACCCCTCCGAGTACGACCTGCCGACGTGGTTCACGGCGCTCCTGACAGTCGCCTACCTGTACATGTACTACATCTGGGACACGACCAACTCGCAGAAGAACCAGTTCCGCCAGGAAGAGCGCGGCGTCGTCGAGGAACGCACTACGTTCCCTTACTTCAAGTACGGCCGCATCAAGAACCCAAAGACCATCCAGACGGCCCATGGCAACAAGATTCTCGTCGACGGCTGGTACGGCAAAGCTCGCAAGATCCATTACACCTGCGACTTCTTCTTCGCTGTTAGCTGGGGCCTCATCACCGGCTTCAGCAGCGCGTTCCCTTGGTTCTACTCTGTCTTCTTTGCCGGCATGATTATCCACCGCGCCATGCGCGACATTGAGAAGTGCAGGGAAAAATACGGCGAGGCGTGGACAGAGTACGAGAGACAGGTGCCGTATCTCTTTATTCCGGTATGTCCCTTTTTTTCCCCCCACTACATCCACTCTTCTGATTATCTATCTCGCTAACAATCTATCTTCTAGTACGTCTTTTAAATCCCACACATACATATACACGAATCACGCTTGCTGCTCGGGAAACACACACACACACACACACACACACAAATTCGAATAGTCTTTGCTTTCGTCCGCGGATATCAACTCTGTTCATATGTTTGATGATGACTTCTAACCGGCCTATTGGAAAAGTGGGGAGGATGCAGGATGCGGGGGTGCTTGTATTTACATGTATAATCTGGTCTCGACATGAAGGTTCCTTTAACGCCTGTACCATAAACTGTCTTGCTATGTATTTAGGGCTAGCCCTGATTTGTACGAGGGAAGGGGGGGTTTTGTACGTAGGAATGAGGGGAAACTGGTATTTATGTAAAGTGGATTGTTGTTGTAATGTGTTGTTGTAATCATGGATGGGGGGGGGGTGGGTTGTAATTCTTGAACGAAGTTAAATTTTCCACCGATTTAATGCATGTTTTTTTTTCACTTCATGTCACGCGGCAGACGTTGTGTCTCATAGCAGTAGAAGAAATAAAGGGATTGAAATTACTAGAAACAATATATCTTATTAGGATATATGTCATTACCCCCTGCGTCTCGTGCTAGGGCTCTTTCCCGCCGCCCGCCCGCTAGACACGGATCGCACAGTTTCCTTGTTGGGGCTACCAGCTGCGATAGGTTTTTCAAGTTTCCTGGACTCTGTTTTCTTGGAGGCGGGCGCGTTCCAGTAGTACATGACCTGGCAGAAGAGGATGGCGTTGAGGGCGAAACCCGCAATGAAGCCGTACAGGATGAGGGGATCGTCGACTTCCTGGAGGGTGGTGAAGATGCGAGAGAGGGAGCCAAGGAGGTAATTGATGACCTGCGCCAGACAATTATTAGCAAATGCTCTTCTGAGGTACATGGAAGTGCAAGAAAAGGGGCAAACGAGAAATGTATACTCACAGCAAAAGCACTCAATTGCCCAGTCCCGCCCTGACTCCACACGGTCAAAATCTGCGGCACCTTGCTGGCGACGCCCAAGACACCAGCGCCAGCCTGCAGCACAGCCAGCCTCTCTTCATTCACGAGCTGGTCGTTGAACAGCGCAGCGCCCGCCGCCAACAAGCCGCCGACCCATCCGGCAACGGCCAAACCCTTGCCACTGTACTTGAGGACCAGACTGGCAATAGCAATGTTCTGGACGAGAATGAGGGCCGTCTCGCCGTAGGTGCTAAACGGAAAGCCGCGGCGCACATTGTAGGCAAGGCCAATGAGGTAGGCGCCCGACTCGAGCAGGTACGCGAGGAACGAGAGGCCCTCTGCCGACTGCGAGTTGAGCAGCTTGAGCAGCTGCGGCACCTTGACAATGGCAGAGGCGCCGACGATGCCAATGCCCAGGCCCTTGGAAATGGCCAGCTTGACGCATTCGGTTGCGCTGAGGTCCACGTTGTAGATGAGCGTCTGGTAGCATGTGGGGCCGAGGAGCGAGATGCCAATGTCGGCAATGGGCTGCGGCAGGTTTTGCGTCAGGGGCTGGAGGGCGGATTGGAGGGCCTCCATGGCTGCGGCGCGTCTAGCGGTCGTCGTGTGTTTGCAGTGTATATGACGATGTGCGAAGGCGAGGGGCGACGGAAATTTCGCGCGGGCGTGGGTGGGAAGGACACTTTTCCGATACGAAGTGTAAAGAGGGTCCAGCAGGCGTGCTTGGGGAAAGGGATCCGCTGACGCAAGGCTTGGCGCTCGCGTTGCAGGGATGCGCGTTGACCTGCATCCACATCTGCGCAGCCGAGCCCGACACGAGTCGTGCGCCTACAACAAGTTCACGATAAAGGTGTTGGTGTCCGGTCAAGTTACGGGTGAAATTTAATGCACTATTATGCAGCCAGTCCCTCGCGCCGTTTTTGCTCCGGGAATCAAGTTCCCGTCGTGATCCCAAGTCCACACAACTCCTTTGCCCTGGGCAAGGCGCAGTACATGACGCTCCTCTTAACCGTAACAGCATCGCAAACTGCAACATCCTCATATGCTTACCAGAGCGCCGAAAATACTGCCGGGGAACGGCGATGCGGGCATTTCCAGAAGCGCCATTCTTGGTGTTAAAAGAGCGTCGATCACATCTAATCGTACAGGTCCACTCCACTTCATATTTGCTGGGGCACGGTGCTTGGAGCATGTGGCGGAGGCATGGGCGCAATATCTCTCCTGTCTGCCAGATCGCCCGTAGGAGACATGACTGTCTCTTGGTTCGAGATGATGGTGGTACTGAGCGGGTGAGGTGGCGGCGTAGGAGCGGGTGAAATGCTCGCAGGCGGATGGTACCCTGTATCCGTAAGCCTGCCCGATACAGGATTGTAGACGCCGTTCCTCGCACGAAGCTCGTAGTGGTCGTCATCTTCTGAAGACGAATACTCATAGGTATCCATCTGGCGCTGGCGTGCAACATCTCCGGCGAAAGGATTCGTGGCTGGCAGCTGGTTGGTATACCGGTTGACTTTTGACGAAATACCAGAAGTCATGGTTTCGGTGCGGTAGTTGCTCGATGCGGCTGTGTCGCTTCGATTCACTCCATACTGAGACCCGGATTCCTGCCGTCTTCGCTGCGAGTTGTGGATTTGCTGGCGAAAGACATTGCTTCCAATATCGCCGGGAACTGCCGGAGCAGCCGAATAGCCTGACGCTTCCCCGCGCTCCTCATCCACCGGCTTCCTGATTTCCTGTAGCGGTTCCATGGCTTCCTCGCCCAAAGTAGCCTGATGAGGCGGTGTGCGTGATGCCTTGCCCCAGGCGCGAATGGGGTACGCTCGTCCCTTGCGCCACGTCTCAGACACAGGAGGAAAGTATTGTCGGTAAGAGCCCCATGACACGAGTATGCCGAGCAGCGCCCCCGACAAGACATCGAATGGGTGGTGGCGCGCATCCATGATACGGGTTCCCGTGATGAGGGCAGCGCCGAGGGTGGGAACCATGACAATAAAAGTCCTCCACACTTCACCCTTGGCGTCCAGCACGTGCAGTTTTCCAGCAAGGTAGATGGACAGGTAGAACAGACCGGCAAAGGAAACTATGGGATATCAGTTGGAGGGCCATGCACGAGACGCTATATGGCATACCGCTGCTGTGTCCAGAGGGAAAGCTCTTGAAGCCATCCTGCAGAATGTAGTTGTCCGTCTGCGTGCAAATGTCAATCGTCTGCAGGGCGTAGAGGGTCTTGTTGATCTTGGACTGGTCTACTCGGCATCTGCGGCGTGTTAGTCAACGCTTTACGCTGTCTGCTCGCCAAAGGCCGACTTGCCGGCTGATGAGGTCTGGCCGGGGCTTTCCAATCGCATTCTTCAGCGCACCGGTAATGGTAAAGGCAGCACCGATACTCAGGCCCAGGCCAAGTATGCCGCAGTTCAGCTCCCACAGCCTGTCCTTGAACCGGTACCTCCCCGAGAGGCGCTTGAGGCCGGTTCTGTTGGCGGGGGTGGCGGTCTGGTGCGAGAAGAGGCCATCGATGACCATGGTGTAGAAGGCGATGATGACGGCGGGCGCGAAGACGACATAGACGCACAGCCAGGCAACCGGGACGCGCTCATGTTCGGCAAAGGGGTAGTGGAGAGTGTAGTTGTCGAGCGAGAAGGGCTGGTGGAAGGGGGCGATCTTGTCGACAACGGCAAAGATGAGCATCAAGACGCTGCGCAGCAGGTTAGCCGTGCATTCGCGGGGGGGCACGAGGTCGTGTGAGGCCGAGGGCGGCGTCTTACATGATGATGAGGTAATCTACAACATAGCTGGACCGGCTAGTTAGCATGGATACACGTGCAGAGCCGTGGCCGAGTACGCACGAGAAGATGACCTTTTTGGAGAGGCGCTTCTTGGAGAAAGGGAGGCGCTCAGGGAGCTGCTTGGCCGTCCAGTCGTCCATGGCGCGCTACAGCTCGGCCGGCGCACGGCGGATGCTCTTGCAGGGCGTGGGCGGGGAGGCCGGCAATGGCAGTGCGGTAGTGTGGCCGTGTGGTCGTGTGGTGACGGTGAGGGGGCTGCCAGGCGTAGGGGATTGACGTCGGAGCCAAACATGCGGCCCTCGCAGTGAGGCGTGTGGAAGCAAATGGGCGGGTGGGAGGGAGGAAGGACAGCCGGACAGGGTATACGGGGAGGATATAAGAAAAGAGCGGGAATTGGCCGGGCCAGCGCCGCACAGAAGAGGCCCGCGGTGAAGCAGTGGGCGTGGGAGAGGGAGAGGGCCGAGGGCAGGCAATGTCTTGGACGACTATAATTACGCCATCTAAGTAGGCCGGGCGTGGCTGTGAAGAGCTGACGCGCCCCCAGTTGCTTGGCTGGCGACAGCATAGCCACTAGCCGCCTTGCGATCAGCGGCTCTGGGCTGAGGCTGGCTGCATTTCCAAGCTCCCTGTGCCTGTCTTGGCCTTGGGGATGCGTACGGAGCATTTGGAGTCGCCCTGTGCTTGCATTAGCCGCTGCCGTCCCACTCGCCGCCATGACAGCGCAGGCCTCAGAGCAGCCATCCATCCCATCGCCGCTCTCTAGCGCGTCGCCGATCGCTTTTCTCTTCGCACATTACTTACATACACACACATACGCATACTACGTCCATCGTCCATCCGCCCTCCCATCCTTGCCCCCCGCCGCCGCCGCCGCCCGCCCGCCGCCATGTTCTCCCTGCTCGCCAGCGACAAGCAGCCGCCCCCCAGGCTCGCCGAGGCTGCCATGTCCAAAATCTCAACCATTTCCGCCGCCCACCTGTCCCGCCTCGAGAGCCTCCCCAAGGCCCAGCGCTATGCCATCGTCGGCGCCGCCTCGGTCGGAGGCCTCGCGCTGCTCTGGGCACTGACTGCATCGTCAAAGCCTGCCAGACGCCCGCCGCTGCTCTCCCCCCGCCACTCTCTGCTGCCCGACATCGCGCCCGAGGATGCTGCTGAACTGCCCTACCATCCAGCCGCCCTGCCAGGCGCCCGCGACGTCGCCTCGCCCTTTGGTTCCATCCGCGTCTACGAATTCGGCCCAAGAGAGGGCGAAAAGGTCCTCCTGATCCACGGCATTTCGACACCCAGCATTGCCCTGACTGACCTCGCGCACAAGCTGGTCGGCAGGGGACGACGTGTCATGCTCTTTGGTGGGTCCCCTTCTTGTTGTCATCCCGTCTGCTAGTCGCTCGACCGTCCTCTTCGCCATTGTCGCCAAAAACAATTTAAACAAGGCCGACGCTCCAATGCCCGTGGCCTGAGGCATGCGCGCGCTTTGCCTTGTCCCATTGGACTCGTCATGTTTGGATACCCCGCGTCCCGGGTGCATCGTCTTTTTGCTTTCCTGCTTTACCCGTTTGGGCAAGCGGCCCGCTAGCCCTACCCAACGGTGAAGCACGTGCGCCGCTATCCACTTCCCCATGGCTTACGATCGGCATCACGGCTTCAACATGCTTATCTGTTATCTGAGCCACTTCCATTCCGTTGCCAGACTCCTTTTGCGACACACATTGGCTCCTCGCACCGTCTCGTTTTCGTCGCACACGACCCAAAGCTAACCAGCGGTCCAGACCTCTTTGGCCGTGGATATTCCGATGGCCCTTCCCCTGACACCACAGACTATGACGCCACCCTCTACACCACCCAGCTCATGCTGGCCCTGCAGTCGTCACCCCTGCATTGGTCAAACTTTACCATTGTCGGCTACTCCCTGGGTGGCGCCATCGCCGTAGACTTTACATCCTACTTTCCCCACCTGGTCAAGGGGCTCGTGCTTGTCGCCCCGGGCGGTCTGATCCGCAAATCTCATATTTCCGTGTCGAGCAAAATGCTGTACAGCAGCTCCTGGATGCCCGAATGGATGGTCCGCAAGTTGGTTGCAAGCAAGCTATGGACAGGCGCAAAGAAGGTGGAGAGCGATCCCGAAGCCATTGAAAATGCAGAGACTAGCACAACCGTGAGCGAGGGCGACAAAACATACGTCTCCAGCAACCGCATGCTCTTGCCCGGAAACCCGCACAGCACCGTCTCGTCTGTGGTAGATTGGCAGATTAAGCACCACAAGGGTTTCGTCCCTGCCTTCATATCTACCATCCGCAATGCCCCTATTCACAACCAGCACGACCGCTGGAACGTCATCCGCGACAACATTGAATCGCGCGCCGGCCCCTTGAGGGAAGTCTGGCTAGTCCTTGGCGAAACAGACCCCATTATTGTTGCAAACGAGATTACCGAGGACGCAAGAGCAGCTCTCGGCGAGGAGAATGTCAAGGTCAAGGTGCTAGATGGTGTAGGCCATGAAGTTGCTATTGAGAGGGCCGACGACATTGTCCGCGTGGTACGAAGAATCGACGGCAGAAGCGAGATGAGGGAGGAGGAGAGGCTAGAGAGATATGAGCGGCCCGAGAGACCCGAGAGGCCTGAAAGAACCGAGCGGCCTGAAAGACCTGAGAAGGCCGAGAAGCCTGAAAAGAGTGAGAAGAGCGAGAAGAGCGAGAAGAAGGAAAAGAAAGAAAAGAGTCGAAGAAAGCATGGGAGCTCTCACGCCAGCTCCAGCACAAAGTAAACACGAGCATGCGTTGATCCGAGGCCCTCACACATTACGAAGGAAATGAATATACCAGTCCTGAATCGCGGATACGCCCAAGAATGAAACGACGCATACATATAACAAGAAAATAAACGAAGAAATGAACAAATCATGTATAAATTGTGAGACCTCGTAACATGTACATGAAGTATAAACATAGCTAACCATAGCTGAACATTCTCCCAGCACGCTCCAGCATGTTTCAGCTCAGCAAACCGATCAGAATCATTGCACAGCAACACTGCATGCTAATATTCACAGATTCGAAAAGAAACGCTCCTCCGCTTCCATCTCTCTCTCTCTCTCTTTCTCCACCTCACTGACCCTCGCACCCATCTAACCAAGCCACACCGCCGGTCCAGGCGGCGCATAGTTCGTCGGAACCGGGTAGTAAATGTTAACCTGGACACCGGGATCCGTCGCCTTGTAGGCGCCCGGAAACGCGACTTTAGGCCCCGGGTTGCCCGTGCCGCTGCCCTCGACATTGACCTGCGCACACGAAATGTAGAATTGCGCGCCGCCGACCGACGACGCAGAGTGCAGTGCAATGTGCTCGATGCGCAGCAGGTACTCGCCCTTGGGCAGTGTCGAGGGCGTTTTGAACGAGACTTTGTCTTTTCCTGCAACGAGTGTTAGCGCACTGTACTGCGTATTCATTGGCCGGCCTGGGGTAATGCTGCGATAAAAAAAAAGAGAAGAGAAGAGAAGAGAAGAGAAGACGACGTACCATGCGAAGGCCAATCAATCTGGCCATTGGTAATCTCAGCCTTCTCGCTGGAAACCTTGAACCAAACCTCTCCGCTGCCATCCCACGTAGCGGCAGTCTTGCCCTCGGGCACCTTGGCCATGTAGAACTGGACGGGGCCCGGATGCCCGATGGTGGTGCCCGCCTTGAAGCCCAGCGTGTCTCCGGCTTTCACCGTGAGCGTCTTGGCCGTTGTGCTGGGCGACCGCTGGTAGCAGCGGATAGCATCGCTGGTAACGTCTTGCACGGGGCCTGTACGTCATCTCTTATTAGATACCGGGGGTTTACTACGTCTTGGGGACGGGACGAACCGTTGGATTGGTAGTTTGCCGTCTGTCGCACATTGACCCAGTCTCCCGTTGTCTTGTCGTTCCACGTCAGGTCCGGGAAGGTGTAGTGCGCAGTTGCTGTGGTGGCGAGGGCCACGGCGGCAGTGAAGAAGGACTTCATTGTGTTTGTTGCAGGATGTATAGATGTAGTCTTACAAACCCCAGAAAAAGAGTGAAGAAACACACAAGAGAAAAAAAAAAGAGTGTAAAGTTGAAATGAAGGTATGTCCAGCAACGTGTGCTATATAAACGAATGTTTTTTTTTGTCCTGCAAAAGGATTGAGTAGCAGAAATCAATGGCCCTGGTGACCTGTTTATCGCACTACCCGTTGTCCGCGGGCTGTATATATATATATATATCTATGTATATACGTACATTAACACACACCCACACCCACACACATATACCTGGGCATTTGCCACTTCATCTCGCCTAGCCTACACAGGCCTCGGCCAGCTGGTCATGGGGACACCCACACCCACACGCGGGCCACATACACCTATACCCCGAGTCGTGGGGGGGTAGTATACTGCAGAAACGCGGCTTGAAACACTGGCGTACAGAGTGCATAAACGGGATTAATTCCTGAGAAACAAAAAGAGTGGGTTTGCGCCCGCATCAGGCTAGGGAGCCTGCCAAGGATTATTGATTGGATAACAGGTACTTCGCCGCTCCTGTTTGGTGGTCGAAACATTGGTCTCCATTGTATAGATTAAGAGGCACTCCGCCATACCCAGTGGAATCGCGGACCTTTGCTCGATAATGGAAAGTGTGTTATAGCACTGTACATTTGACATTCAGTCGGTGGTTATTTGGGCTCGGCATCGAGTGTAGTCCGGCTTCCGGGGATAGACTTCACTATACGCAGATTGAGGTTGGCGGTTCCAAGACCCTTCACTTGGCGGTACTTGGGAAAGTCGTGGGCTTGCGATATGCAAAAAACGAGCCCGGCAACAATGGCTTCTTTTGGGGGGTTTGGGCCGGTGAAAAAGAAAAAGCATGGCACTTGGATGACGTACGAAACTGGAGATTCGAAACAAAAAGTACGTGAAGATCAAGCCATGGGAGCAAAGCGCCAACGGGACTGCAATAACAGCAAGTGGTTGAGATTTCATGTCGGGGATCGGTCGAGTAATTTTCAGGCCTTGCTTCTGCCCTCGACAATGGCCAACTGCCTTTGCTCCTCGTCTTCAAGCTCGCCAGCATCGTAATAGAGATCTTCTTCGTCAATATCCGGGTACCCAAACAGACTTCGGTAGATGCGCTCGCCTAGCCCCTTCTTTTGAGCCATGGCCAGCACCATTACTATCGGCAGGTGCCAGATGCTAGCCCAGAACAGACCCCTTGCTGTTCCTTTGTGGCCCTCGGCCTTCCAGAACTGCCAAGCCTTGAGTGCCATCCAGCCGTTGACGGCGCTGCTCGTCACAACATAGCTCCAGTCGGTAACGCCTGAGTAGGACAAGCCAATGCATATTGGAAACATGAGAACGGCGTACCGCAATGCAACGCGTCCGTTCATCGCGGGGTTGACCCAGGCCAACATGCGGTACCCGGCGTTCTTGTACTCCTCACGGATAGACCAGCTTAGCGCATTGAAGTGGGGAAACTGCCAGGCATACAAAAGGGCGGCGCATAGCCACCCCCCAGCGGAGCCCTCCCCGAATAAGAGTTCTTGCCATGTGCCGTCGTGCGCATACTGACTCGCCGCCGCTGTCCAGCCCATGAGCGGAGGGATTCCTCCAACCACTGCGCCGACCCAGGTGTTGAGCACGTGCATGCGCTTCATGGGCGTGTACACGCCCGCGTAGAGGACAATGTTTGCCGCGCCGAGAAAAGCAGTCGTGGGATTGACACCGTAATAGAGAGCCCCGGTGCCAACGACACCGCATGCAATGGCAAAGGCGATGGCTCCGCGCGGGCTGATGAGCTTTCGGACAAGCGGACGGTTGCGCGTACGACTCATCTTGGCGTCATGCGCGGGCTCCATGATCATATTCAGGGCATTGGCCGACGCCGAGCATAGCGCTGTGCCCGACATGAGGAAGAAGAGTGTGAGGGTCGAGAGTGAAGGTGTCGCTGTTGCTGCAGGCGCAAGCAGTCCAGGTACGGGGTATAGCGAATATGCGGCTGTCGCAGTAAGCACGACGAGAAAGGTGAGGCGCGGCTTCGAGAGCGAGAGGTACGTAGTCAACATGCGCTTTAGCGATTGCTGTGGGAGACTCGAGGATATGTGCGCCAGCTTCGCCGAAGCATCGTGTGGTATGGGATATGCCGTCTCCGGGTCTTCCATTGCCTGCTCCTTTGCCTTCTTCCGCCGCCTGTGCGGAAGCACCTCTTCTGCTATGGCTGGAGCATCTCCCTTGTTCGATTGCTGCCCATTTCCCGACCGCATTGACACCATTGAACTCTGCAACTCGAGTCTTGAATCCCAGAAAGAGTCTTTCAACAGCGGATTCGCTCGGAAGTAGCCTTTGCTGAATGTATTGCCATCTTTTCCTGTAGCTACGGCGCTCTCTCTATGCGACGAAATCGAGGATAATGTCTGCCGCGACTGCAGCGGCGCTTTGGCGAGCCTCCGCCAGCATCGCAGACATAGTGAATTCGCGTTTCGCACTGCAATTGGCCGGGGCAGTATGGGTCGAAAGCTCATGTCGGCATGGGGTTGAGCTCCAGCGGGCGGTCGATACAAGATGGATGCAACTTTTGAGATGCACATGCACGCAATGCCAAGGCTGGGGGGCACTAGCCACTCACGCCTCAGCCATTATCATTGCATCTTACTGCCGCAACACCTTCGCCGAGTCATGGCTATCGGCTAACATCGAGTACTATTCGATCGAGACGGGAATTGCAGCATGGGAATATTTTGTGACATGCTACTCATCGTGCTTGGATGACGACTGAGCAATCAAAGCCTCGCGGGCTATATCTTGACATGGGGCTTGCGGAACCCTGCCTTTCAGGACATGCCACGACACAACGTTATCGACATCAGCGTTAGATGAAAACTAGCCTTCGATATACACGTCGTATTCTCGTAAACTGGCCGGGATGTTGTTGAATATCTCGCAGAGCAACCTTGCTGGTTCCAGCCACAAATTGGCGGGCGTTGGGCTGCAGTAGAGCTGAAATTTGGCCCCCAGAGACCATGAAGAGGCTGTGTAAGCCGCAAGGCTATGTCTTCTGGCTTCTGCGGCCACGTCCCTTTTTCTACGGAGCGCGAACGCTTGTTCGCAACAGTGCGCGTCCAAATGGCCGAAGTTATTGGAATCGTCGCTTCAGCCATTACCATCGGCGCCAGCGCGGCTCAACTCTCACTCGCGCTGTTCAGTGTAGCCCAAACGCTCAAGAATGCTCCTAAACAGATTGCAGAGATTGGTATGTGACCTGCTTCAAAATTACTCGATATACTTCTCAACAGCACTAGCGGAAGAATTTTCCCTTGTTTCCGAAAGTCTACAGACACTTGCAGATATTCTTCGCTCCCACCAGGACTTGTGCAAGCCGGCGCTTTACAAGAACACACATGCCATTATTCTGCGGTACAAGCAAGTCGACGCGGAAATGAAGAAATTGATAGACACGCCTCAGAAACTGGCAGGTCTGCAGTGGTTCATTAACAAGCCCAAGGCGAAAGGGCTTCTGAAGAAGATTGAAGGGATCAAGACTGCCCTCATCTTGGAATTGAACATAATACGCCTTGCAAGGGAAGAATTTAATCGCCCGTAAGATTTCTCATCACATGGCAGGTCTCGGTTACTGACGTGGCTAGTCACCCTGCCATCGATTCAGGGGCGTTACCAGAATACCGTCCAAGGTTCAATCGATTTCGCAAGATTGTGGAGAGCGCCGTCCAGGCTAACCGAAAGGTAGTCGAAAATGCGCAGCAGGACAACGACAAAGTTGGCACTGGCGGGCGGCGCTATACTAACGCAGAGTTAGACATTTGGAAAGAAGGCTCTTTCGACACTGCGACATGGCTCTATCATCTGGTATTCAGCCCTGAGGTACTATCTGAGGAAGGTCTCAACACGCGCCGGCTTCACCAGGCATCTGTTGCTGATGACTTTTCTGATAATGCCACAGCCTCTGATAAGAGAGACGCTGACTCAGATGAAAATTCCATGATTGTGTGGAGTAAGCAAACCGAGCCCAGTTCAGTGGTGGACAGACTCCTCTCTTCATGGACTACGCTTTCGTCGGACCAAATCACCAGTAGTGCAGCCGACCAGGATGGCGACGAGTGGAGAGAAAAATTGTTGAAAAACATTGAAGAAGCAAAAAAGGAAGCCGACTTGTCCTTTGACCAGTGGGAGATGCAAAACGAACCTGTGAAATCCGACGACGAGACATTCAAGAATGTCGAAGACGAAAACTTGAGCGATGTCACTTTGCCGACATAGAATTTTTATAGCAACACCAAGAACCATCGCAAGCGTGGTGTTCAGAAATCAGCTGACACCGGTGCCTGGGATGACCGATTCAACCAATCTCCAGTGCTTAGCGAAGCTAAGACTACCACTGCTACCGTTGAACGCCATATCGACCAAGACCCAGGAACAAAGCAGCCATCCAGGGAGCGCCGGGTGAGATGGGAAGCAGATCCATCGCCTACTGAGCGCTCTCATTCGCGTCCTTCCAGACAAAAAAAGCCAACAAGACAGTCACGGCCCGTGTTTCCTGATGATGATTCTCCACCCCGAATTCCTTATAGGAGTCCTGTTCATCCTCACGTAACCATAGAACGTATCGACAGACGCTCCGAAGATAGCCACAACCCATTTGCTCCCAAGCGAGCCCCATCACCTACTATGTCTGCACCTCCACTATCATGGCAGGAGCCATCCTGGGGGCCACAGTTTCAGACACACTACCAGAGGCCATCAGAGAGCTCTTATTCTACACATGGTTTCTCTTGGCCATACCCCCCTTCAGCTACACTTCCTCGTCATGAGAGTGCTTTTCCACCGCCGCCACCACCACCACCTAAACCGGAGCTTTATGCACGATCACAACCCAATGCTTTTTACCCTACTCCTCCCCATGTCTCCTCAGAAGAACGATTCAAAGAAACTGGAACAGCGGCCAAGGAAAAGGCTATTATTACGGCGATAGAGAAGCTACTGGAAAGGCGAAGCCAGAATGACCAGCTCGATTCTAGCGACCCACGTTTCCTAAAGCTGGTGCAAGTCTTGACCGCGCAGCAAGAGCGCGAAGCGCAGAATGAGCGTGAGCGAGCTGATGCAGCCACTGAAGCACAGATGAGACTAATACAAGCTGCTCACGACAAAGACTATGAGCGATTGAGGCAATTGGAAATCCTTGCAGCAGAGCAAAAGCAAGAGCAGTCAAGGCAACAGGCCGCCTGGAAAGAAGAACGGCTTGCAATGGACGAAAAAGCTGCAAAGCAAGCGCAGGAGGCGAGAGACATGGCAATGAGAGAGATTGCTGCAGTGCAGTCTGCGAGAGCAGAGGCAGAAAGACAAACACAAGAACGAGCTGACGCGAGGGCAGCCGAAGAAAGAAGACGAATTGAAAATCGCCACAAAAAACAGTTGCAACATTATGAAAATCTACTACGGGGGTTTCAAGAGCAAAAGCTGAAGACAGAGCAAGACACCCAGCACCCGATACGGCGGACTCGCATTGCCGAAGGCAATCGTAGTGTTGATGTGACAGAGTACTCAACCGCCCAACAGACTTCTCTTTCCAACTCTTCATCGAATTTGAGAAGCCTTCAATACGGATTTGCACAGTTTGAACTGGGTAGCAAGCAACCGCGCAGTCAAAACCAGTATCCACGGCATCTGCGCCGCGATAGCTTCCGCAGCTCGGCTGCATCCTTGCATTCATCACATGCATCAATAGGAACTATGCGTATGTCTAATACAACAGAGACCTCTCAACAGTTGATTGTCTTCCCAGCGAGAACTGATAGAGGCTCACAAAGACTGGCAGAACTTCAGACATCGCTTGCTGCACTAGGCATTGGATCGACATTTGGGGATCCGGACAGTGAGCAGTTGAATCAAGTAGTACCCTATGGCTATGATGACCCAGGCGAACAAATGGTTCGGAGCACCATCTTTTGGGAAGCGTCAATGCTTAGCTTAGGGAGCGAGCTTCTATTGACTATGAGACAAGCCGGATGGAGACCTGCATATACACGGGTTTCTGGTAAGAATTCTTGGTGTTTTGCTCGACCCAGTTGCGCTAACAACACCCAGGCAAGGGTCAGACACACTTTCTCGGAAGCCAGCCAGTCCACACCTATTTCTTCAGTCCGGACTACAAGCCCCAATTCTCGCCTTGTATGGACCCGTCGGTCCAAGAGTCGATCAATATCCAGAAATCTCTGGTGGAGGAATACGCATTGATTGAACTGGGTTTTCAGTACCAAGCAAAGGACTCGTGCATCTATGTCTTGGATGGCAGGCTGACTTACGTGGGTAATCTTGAGTATTATGGACTGAAATTAGTCTAACAGTGCCCAGAGTGACATCGAATCCCTGGTGGAAAGATCTTTCCTCATGAGGGAGAACAATTACCGAAGACTACATCGCCAGCTCCAATGGCACTTCGACAAAGGCGCTGCTCCCGCAGCACCGTCGACTCCCTGCCCCGAAACATATATGCCTCCGGTATCGTCAATGTATGCAGGGGACGATAAACACACTGCTTGCGAAGACTCCGACACGGATACTGAAGGTAAAGCGAGCTCCATAGCGTTCACACTTGATCAGTCTTACCTGGGTGATTTTGACGAAGGGGATCGCCCATCCGCGCGTAGTAGCGACGAGAGCCCAGTCAAAGCGTCCTCGATTGCTTCTTCAGCTTCAAAATCAACAAATCCCTACCGCGCACACATGTTCCTGAATAAAGAGACCAACCATATGGCTAAGCGGGATTTGCTTGGCAGAAGCATATGGGATGGTCTGGGGACTGCACCCAAATAGAAACTAGATGGATTTTCAGTCAATTCTGCTCGCTATATCCATGACAGATGCAGTTGCAGTAAGAAATCCATATAGAGCATGTTGAAACAATCTTGTAATGTTGCAGCCGACCTTGAAATGACGTCAAGGTTGCACAAAAACGGCGACTGAAAGACACCCTTGGAGACCTTTGTTCGGTGAACGCAAGGCAAACACTCAATCCGGAAAGACAACACTGGGTAGACCCACAGTGAAAGCGGCAAAAGCGCAATCACTCTCCGTTTGCTCCCTAGAGAGCGATAGAGCGCTCGGTTGCCTACCATGGTTGCACCGTGCCTTCACTACGCGCACGTTTATCTTCCTCCTTCTCCCCAAAGCGCACAAACTACAATCCACCCAACTTCAACCCAACCCAACTCTTCTCTTCCTTGTCCGCAGCCATGTCTTTGGCCAAGTTATCAACGGAACTAGACACCAGGATCTTGGAGTATCTGCACGATGACCGGTCGGCTCTGAGTGCCATGTCAATGGTATCAAAGTACTACCGAAGAGCCACAGAGCAGTTACTGTACCGCGAACTCGAATTTCCGCGTGTTACGGTGAGGCAGATCAAGTGTCTGGCGTTTACTGTAGCGCATAGGGAAGATGTTGCAAAGCACGTCCGCAGCATCACGATACCACGGCCAAGAAGAACGGTTCACCCAGATGACAGCAGCACGTCGGAGGGCTATGAATCGGAGACCCTCAAGCTGATTGGTAAGGCGAAGGCATTCTGTCCAAGTGCGCCCTTCTTCGACAAGTGGCTGGAAGACCTACGGAGCTGCCATGTTTTCCACAAGAATAGCATTTCCTTCGACGGCCACCTCGCTTTGTTCCTCACGCAAGCCATCAATATTGAGAAGATCCAACTCACAATCACGCTTGATGACAGCCTCGAGATCTGCCGTAAGGTGATCAGTCTCGACTGGCAGTCACACAACGCCGGCGCTGCAGCCTACCCCCTCAACAAACTGGAGGACCTGTTCATTGCCTTCAACCACCTGACGGATACTCACGCCGAGCTTGACTGTTGCGTCACGGTAGCGCAGTCTCTAAAGCGTCTTGGATTGCCAAACTTTCATATCCAGGGGCTCAAAGTCCGGGGCTCCTGCACCGCTGCACTCGAGGAGCTGCATCTCCAAGACGCCACCTTGAGGCCCTTGACGTTGGTTAAAGCTCTGAACTCGCGCCAGTTTGGAAATCTGCGTCGCCTCAATCTAGACCAAATTTACGATCCAGATGCCCACACCACGGAGGCGTCGTGGTACGGTGAGCCCTTCGACAACCGGGAACTGAGCAAGGCCTTGATCAAGCACACGCCCTTGCTGGAGGTGTTTGAATACAGAGGGTACATATCTCAGGCTTTTGCATGGCCCCACGAACTTGAGTCGCTCAAAGGGCTGACCAAACTGCATACGCTGCGTGTGGACATAGATCGTCTCGTTTTGGCCGATGGATTCGCGAGAGCCGAGCGCTTCGATCCTCACCACATCCTCCCGCCCTCATTGCGACACCTGGAACTCACTTATTTGCCCGTCGAGAGGATACATGAGTACAGCGTAGAGCTGGATAAGGTTGAAAAGCGGCCGTCCTCGATGCAGTTCATTGTTGACACCTTACTGACCTTTCCATCGCTCAAATCCCTCGCTCTCGGTACCTATACGCTCAAATATGATGCGTGTTGTGTCAACGACGAGAAAAAATTGACAGAGGCAGCTGTGAAGCTACTCTTGACGCTGGCGCAAGAATCAATCAAGAAGTGTATGACGTTCCAGGTATACACTGGAGATGGGCGAAGACGGCCAAAGCGCTATTTCCTCGAGTAAGACTGACCGGCTATCGACAAGTCTCCATGTATGAGAGATAAGGAATAGGATGACAGACGGATGTCAAGGTCGAACAGAATCCCACCATATCAGGGTTGGCAACAGAATACTCGGCACATGAGTTTTGGCGGTGATGCATGCCTTTCGCGCATTCAATACATCATCGGGAGGTTGCCTAGATCGGACAGACGGATTTTCTTGCGAACAATGGATCCTTGTTGGACCTCCAGTAGCAGCTTACGACGGGATGCGGGATGGTTTCAGGACAATTCGGTCTTGAGTGGCAGTGAAGTATCCGGTTGAAAATAGCACACATAATTCGTATGCAGACTCATAATCATGATGATGGTATGTTGCAAATGTGTTACGCCCCTTTTTCCATGTAGAAATAGTGAAGGGGTAATTGACACTGCGTCGATATATCGCCGTCTCGGAGAGTAGGTAAGAGATTGCAAACTCCAATACCTCTCGCAGTAATTTTGGCGAATGAGTTATGGCCACAACGACCTTGTTGTTTCCAGCATCACCCAGCACAGGTGCACCATCCAGAACGATGAACTCTTTCATTATACCTATTCAATGTAATCTACACGCCCATTCTCAATCAATTTTTTTCCTCCACTTGTCTGCGCTTGTCTTCGCGCCGGTAATCGCATTCGCCGTTCGTTCGCGCGCGATCGCGATAGTATAGACACCGACCAGTTTATTATATCAGAGATGCCGTCAAAGCGTCCGTTATGTAACAAGGTGGGTGTGCCGGACGCGGAAGTCATGCAACCACATCCAAATCCACCAGCGAACCACTTAAGCCCCCGGAGGGGAGAGTTCGAAGGCAGAGGAGGAGAGTTGCTCAGCTGATACACGCTAGGCTTTCATCATCTGGAACGCGCTGTTAGTGGAGCTCTGCAATCTGGGTGTTTTTTGTTTTCCTTACAAGTATTAAACTGGAGGGATAGTGAGAGGAAGGCGGGTACGGGCGATAGAAAGATTTTGAAGCTCAGAAGTGGCCCATGCGCGAACTAACCTCGTTATGCACTAGTGCATCATAAGTCTTGGCAGCATATCGAGATTTGGCTGCGAGGGTATCGAACTAGATCTTCGCATCCAGACATCTTTCGAGCCCAATTATCAGACAATTGTTTGAGGATGAGTCTGCTACGGGCATCGAAGCATGTAGTGCACCGAACCATATGCTTGCGCAATTCCTATGTGGAGATATCTCGTTTTTGCAGAACACGCCATCACGAGATCACAGCGAATCGCGTAGGATCATGTTCAACATCTTCGGTTCGAGGTTTCCAGAGCCTACACACGCAGGATAGTTTGGTACCAGACGAGAAACTCAAAAAGACACTCGATGACTTCAAGGCGACCAGTATGTTTGCCCCGCAAAGTCAAGCTCCAACACTTATCCAAGTGCAGTTCGATCATCCTCATGGGAGAAGCTTGACAGCCCGTGGGATAACAACAGTCTAGCCACTGGGGAGCCTGGTACAGACATTGAGATTTTTGGGTACATAAGTACTCGGCGAGATGTCAGTAATAAGCTCTCGTTTACCATGCTTCGCAACAAAAACCAAACATCTTGCATCCAGCTGGTCTCATCTTCCAACAATGCTGAAGGAGCACAAGCCGATGCACATGCCCGCCTCCGGTCATTGAAGGAATGGACTCCTGTCATCGTAAGAGGTACACTCGCCAATCGCCGACCAGCCAAGGATGATCAGTTTCTGGGCATGAAGTTGATCACTGCTCGAGAAATCGCCGTGTCGCATGTTGAGCCACTCAATGAGATTTCCAGCGATATCATCATCAAGAATGACACCGTTTTTGGGCCAGATCAGCGACATCTGCAGCTTCGTACGGACTCAGAACTACGCTCCAACATCATACTGAGGGCCAAGGCCATGGCTACGGCAAGACTGGGGTTATCTGAAGTAGGATGGAGAGAGATAGAAACGCCTATTCTCTTCAAGTCAACTCCCGAAGGCGCACGAGAGTTCCTTGTGCCAACACGTCAGAAAGGATTGGCATATGCGCTACCACAAAGTCCTCAGCAATATAAGCAAATTCTCATGGCTTCGGGTTTTACAAAGTACTTCCAATTCGCTCGATGCTTTCGAGACGAAGATCTCAGGGCGGATAGACAACCTGAATTTACTCAGGTCAGTAACTCTACAAATCGATTTTGCATCTGCTGATGACAGTCAACAGCTCGACATGGAGATGTCTTTTGCTGATGAAGAAGATGTTATGAGAGAGACAGAGACGCTATTAAAGAGACTCTGGTCTAATGTGATTGACGTGAAGACTCCCGACACATTCCCGCGAATGACATATCACGACGCAATGGCATCTTACGGATCCGATAAACCAGACTTGCGGTACGAGTCCAAGGTAAGAAATCGTATTAAATGAGTGCCGATTTGGAAGTAACCAAGACAGATACACACCATCACTCAACACCTGCCAGCGGACCTGATTGGCAAGATTACCTCGCTCGAAGCCCCAGCCGTTGACGCGATAAAGATACCCATATCCGAGGACCCAAAGGTAACCCGCAAGTTCGTCGCTGATTTCCTCGATGGCCCAGACGGCAAGCCGTATCTTGAAAACCCTGATGGCCAGCCCGGCATCTTCATCGGCGACCTCTCCAAGCCAATGCAGGGCCTTGGCCCGTTGGGCTACCAATACGTAATGGAAGGTCCTGAAGCACTCGCGGTGGAAAATGGCGATCTCCTCGTCCTTCAAGCACGTCCTAATGCGCCGTTTTCGGGCGGCTCAACCATGCTCGGGAACCTGCGTCTAGCCCTGCATAAAGCAGCTATATCACAAGGCCTAATGGACCCTCCTGCGAAGGATAGTTTCCAATTCCTCTGGATAACAGACTTCCCCTTGTTCACTCCATCAAGTGATAGTGAGCCGGGTCAGGGCGGTACAGCAGGCTTCTCATCGACGCACCACCCGTTCACTGCTCCCAAAACCCCTGCAGATGTCGATGTCCTCCTGGCGTCTCCGGCTTCCGCCACAGCAGCACACTACGACATCGTTGTAAACGGCGTTGAGCTTGGTGGTGGCAGTCGCCGTATTCACTCTGCGCCCATGCAAGAGTTCATCTTCCGCGACATTCTCAAGATGAAGCCCGAGCGCATTGAGGATTTCAGACACTTGCTCGATGTGCTCAGGAGCGGGTGTCCGCCGCACGCGGGTATTGCGCTGGGCTGGGACAGACTCATGGCTGTCATGTGTGGCAGAGAGAGCGTGAGAGACGTTATTGCTTTCCCCAAGAGCGGCAAGGGTGAGGACCTGCTGGTCAAGAGTCCGAACCAGATGACGCAGGATCAGCTGGCGACATACCATTTGAAGGTAGAGTCGTAGGTTTGGCGAAAAACAGCGTGGGATATGTATATTATTTATAGGATAAGAGATCTCCCGACATCAAAATATAAACGGCGTGGCTTCTGGTCTTACGAAACGATCAAGCCACGTACATGCCTTTCCTTCATATGACTTCTGCATGCCTGGGCTTTCACCAGCTTCCCTAACTTTCCGTGTCATTTTCTGCCCAGAGCAGTATTATCTTCCAAGATACTTTCTCAGATACTATATCCCATACCCCTCAATATCGCCTTCCCCTCCTCCACATCATCCAATTCCCAGATCCTCAGCCCAAACGATTCCAGAAATTCCTTGAAGTGTCTGAACCCTGCATGTTTGACTGCGGCGTTTATGCTCGTAATCCTGGATGGATCAATATCCGTGGACATGTTGTTAATATTTTGTCCTGAATGTTGCAAGGCTTAGAAGGGGCTTGGTTGGGATGTTCGAAAGAAGTTTTTATTTGAAAGCAGTGAAATTGGTTCCTGGAGGTATTACGTGGTCGTTGATAGGTGTATGTGGATTTTATGTCCAAGTCAGGGTTCGTTCGCCAGCGCAGCGGGGCAGGAAGCGGGGCAGATCTTACCGACCCAAGTACAGCAAACAAGGCCGCATTTGGTGCTATTACTTGCATACATATATGCACGACCATGATCCACCTACTCATCCATTTCATAGTCCCGGAAAATCGCGAATACCCATTCCAATGGCTTAAAGTCCAAAGAACAAGCCCACAATCCCCAATACCGAGTACATCCACGAGCCCACTTCACGCTTTCTGTGACCAGCAGCCGCGCCCTCACTAGAAGTAGTGCTCACGGCGCTAGCAAAGTCTGCTGGACGCGAAACATCGGTGATGCTTGCTTCGAACCCTGTTTTCGGTAACGTGACTATGGTTGGTACCGTGCTTACAGTGGCTGTGACTGCGACTCCGCTTGAACTGATTGTTACCAGGGTGACTCCCGCGGCATCCGTGCTAATGGCGAGTAATGTGGCATCGGTGTTTGTGCCAAGTATGGTGGATAGGCCAGGCGTTAATGTTAGTGTTGCTGAGCCGAGTGTGATGCAGCCGCTTATGGCTGCTGGTGTGGACACTGCAGCGCTGGATAAGTCGGGACTTGGCATGATCTCAGGCTGCACAGGATCTCTATTACTTGTAGTGTGTCCGCCTAGAAGAACCGTAGATTGGGTGAAAGAGTCGTCTCTGGAAATGCTCGTCCTGTGAACTGAAGATGGTGTTGGTTGCACATTGGACTTTGTGCCAGCAAGTTGCGACACTATTTCCAGCAACAAACTACTATGTGTGGTTTCTCGTGCATCTGAGGGTTTACTTGTAGGCAGAGGTTTTTCCGTAGGGCCACCATGAGGTTGGTTCGGGGTATCGTTTATATCTTGTTGTGCCGACGTGTTGGGCTGTCTCTCATTGCCGTTGGACGTGTCGCCGCCCACCGCCGAGGTAAATACAGGACCATTACGTATCAGAGTTCTCGTCTCAATATTGATGATTGTCGCAATGTACGAACTGACAACAACATAGGTTTGGGTGGGCGGAACAAGACCAAGCGACTTCATCCCAGTGTCGTCCCAGCCCGTTGCTGTTGGCAGCGCAGGTATTCCCCGGCCTTCGCATGTTATTGGGTCAAAAGTGACCAGACACGGATCTATTTGCCAGTCTCCAGCCCATGGCGTTTCCGAGGGGGCTACGTTAATCTGGTCGATGGGTGTGATGGTAGCAGTGGCATTTGCTGGTACCGAAATTTCTACCAAAGTTAGTCTGGAAAATTGTATCATTCGTTCTCTTGAGTCTTGAAATACGTGGAAAAGCTGTGACTGTCACCCCCGACACCACAAGCATCAGGAGCTCTGGCGGTAGACATGTATGCATACTTGAATTTTATGTGTATAACGCAACATGTAAGTGATATTGACAGAAGACGAAGAAATAGAGGAGGCTTCCGCTACTCGTCGTATCTGTACCCCCTTTTCTGCTGCCATCCTCTTGAATTGATGGAGTTCGGACGCTGTGCCACAAGGGATGCCCCAGCTTGGCTAGGCTGAGCACGGGGGTGACGCGCGATCATATGCCAAGGGCTATTGTAACACCTATGCTGGAATACTGTAGACCAGCCCAAAATCACACAGTTCAATCTTCAACACTTCGAGAGAACCACCGAGGGCTGGAGCCAGTGTTCGCGAAGCTCTGAGGCGCCAATAGCGCCAGTCAAGGCAACAGGTGAGACGAAATTCAGGTGACCACCCTCGATACATTTGAGTCAGACCTATTGAACAGATTTAACCAAGTCCTTGTCAAAGGCCTCCCGGATCCTCGGGCGAGTCCATCATTTTCGACAGTTTGCACGATGGCGCACCCAACCCAGCAGGGCATAGCCTCGCTGGGTTCGGATCGAACGAGACGCGGAGCAGTGCGGCCTGGTCATACCTCGCGACATATTCCAGGCATCCATGCCGTGGGTGTGAATTGATCATCGTTCCGATTGAACTTCTCAAAGGACCTGTAGCCAAAAGCGCCCCCATATTGCACGATGATCCGTGCAGGTCCCATGACATTTGCACATTTGCAAGATTCAATTAGTAAAGCACCTAGAGAGAGCCAAGAAGAATTAGCAAACTATACGAACGGCTGGAAGCAAGATGACGCATTCTTTCAGGCACCCATCAAACCATCGGAAGGCTCCGTCACGCTGCCCTGGTTTGAACATGCCAACCCAGCTGTTCACCGTCAAGTTTTCGGCCCCCACCGTTTCACGTTTTCACAGCCTCCTAGTGGCGGCAGGACTTCAGGTGGCATGAATCGTCCAGGAGTTCACGCGGGAAGGATCACCAGTGCGTATGTGACGAAGGGGGGAGTGTTAAGCCTCAGTAGTTTGGCGGTGAGACTGTCATCGGTAAGCCATAGTTCATGCGGAGTGCGCCCCCAAGGAGGCGCAGCCAATCACAACGTGCGCTCACCTGCATCAGCCACGATCAGAGCCACAGAAAAAGAGGCGGTGCTAATTGATTGTTCACGGGTTGTGGGCCCAAGCTGGTAGGAAACGATGTAGTTGCGCGCCTAGGCAGTCGAGACATCTGGTCCGACGATATATAGAGGGTGTGACAAGAGGGTCGTATTGTTTGTCCTCTTCATCCCCACAGCAGTATAAGAAGACAAGTCATAGGCCTTCTCTGGATCATCATCACTGCACTTTCTCCTCGACGATATCTTTCCAAGGCCCACAAAGACAGTCTCCCAAGTTAACCGCAATGTCTTACATGCACCTTACCCACACTCGCGCCCGTGAGCGCACTCCCGACTATGAGCCTCACGACTCTCGTCCCCTCGTCCGCCGCGACACCCTCAAGCGTGATCGCACCATTACACTCTCCGACCTTGATGATGACGGCTACGACGACTACCCCTACCCATCCAACCATCCCAAGTTCAGGGGGCCATCCCGCGCCCTAACAATTCGTGATCAACCCTCCCAGCTCGAGCGCTACAACATTTGGTCAAGTGACAAGCGTGACGACGATGAGAGGCGACGCAGCTACGAGACACGCCATACCTACAAGTACGCCGATCGACACTACCATACCGATGAAGAAGATACAGATGAAAGTGCGTTCCGTCTGAAGATCAATTCTACCTTTGATCGGCCAAGCACATCCCACCACCACCATTCCCACGAGACTCATCTCTGGCCTAGCGACGCTTTCCGCCGTCGTGACAAGTGGGTCGATGAGCATTGGGAGGCTCGTCAGCGCTCCACATCTAGGGAGCGAAGCAAGGTCAGGCGAAACGGCCTGTGGGGAGACTTTGAAGAGAAAGAAAGAGAGACTCAGGACGAGAGATGGAGCAGGTACCACAGGACGAGTGAGACCAAGACAGAGGAGCTTCGGCCGTTGAGTGGATGGCGCCGCAGCAGGATCATCAGAGGCAATTAGAGTCGGCAATCGTGATGATATCGGGTTTCGGTTAGTAGGGCCAATGTGTTTCGGATCGCAGATTTCCTATTTCGTTTGTTCTCTTGAGGGTTGGATTTCCTTGAGTCGCTCCTTTAAACGGCTGGGGTGGGAGACTGAACAACCAATGGTTTCTGCAGTTTGTTTGGCAGTAATTTCCTACCTGTCATAGATAGTTTTGAATATTTTCGTTAGATACCCAGAATAAATGTATTTGGTAAAGCAGGATGTTAGTCGCGTCTAGTGATGCATGAAGATGGTGGGGGGAACGCTGTCACAGGATCAGGCGAAGGGGTGCACGGACCCGATGACCCATTGTTTGTTGTCTTGTTTACCTACATCAGAGCCCTCGTTCCGAACAACACCACAACCCCAATTCACGACCAAACCATGGCGCAAACAGGCGGCAAAGAGAACATTGCCGACGGGCTCACTGCAAAAGGCTCGTTCAGGGCACCTTCACAATCTCCAAACAAGTCAGCCCTGTCGCCCAAGAAGTCATCTCGCAAGACGCGTAGCAAGAGTATTGGCCCTGGTGGTCTCGAAGAGTTGGAAGCACCTCCGCTGAAAGAAACTGCTGGGAACAGAAGAAAGGTAGCCTGAGTGTATGACATCCCAACAGTACATGCCGCTGACTTTGTAGTCTGCTTTTATCCCCGCGGTCAAGTCTATTCTGGCCTCGAATGATGAGGACGAGAAGAAGCGGCGCGAAGCCCGCCGCAAGTCGTTGGGTAAGATAGGGAGCGCGCATAGGCACTGAGCGCGATATTAACCATGTCTTAGCAAGGCGACGCGTCTCATTTGCTCCAGAGGCTACTTTGCATACGTGGGATGTAGTCGAGTACATGCGCGATGCGACCACTTCCTCTGCCTCGTCAGAAGCTACCCGGAGAGCCTCGAACGTTTCCCAGGCCTTTACCCCTGCATCGCCTGCCCCTCCCTCCGACCCCGCCGAGCCGCCTTCCACGCCACCAGAGCAGGCCGAAGAGCCTGAGCCTGAGCCCGGTTCTTCACCCGCAAACCAGCGCTCGCAACACCAGAAGAAGAACCGCAGGAGTTCTGTAATACCGCCCATGAACTTCAACAATCCAGATGACGTCTACTCGTCCAGTCCTCTGAGCGGTGATAACGCTTCACCTGATGGAGAAAACAGTAGCAGCGATTCCGAGGATGACGACGATATGACAGAGAACCTGGGTGCCTCTCCAGACACCGAAGACTCTTCCGAGAGCAGTGCTCGCTTGGACGCTGCACTCCGTGAGGCTGCGAACCAAGCAACTACTCAGAAGTTGGACTTGGATGACGAAGACGGAGATATGACTATGGACATTGCCCACGACGAGGTTACCACATCTTTCAAGCCATGGGCCAAGAAGACTTTTGTTCCCCAATATGACAAGGAGAATGCAAATCCCCTCTTCTCACCGGCACGGTCTGAGGGTGGGGACGAGGGTATGAGCATGGACATTACGCGTGCAGTTGGTCGCATTGTTCCCCAGCAAGCACAGCAAGAGCAGGAGCAGGAGCAAACACAGGATTCGGATGCCCCAAGCTCGGACATGGACGAGGACATGAGCATGGAGCTTACTATGCCTCTGGGAAGCATACGGGCCATGGCAGCTAATGCGCCTGCCAACAGGAGGAAAAGTCTTAAGAGGAGAATCTCAATGCTTGAAGCATCCCAAGGAAGCCCTGCCAAGCGTCCCACCAGCCGGCGAGCTAGTCTGCGACAACGTCCACAATCCGAAGAAAACGTACCAGAGGACGCTACTATGGATCTTACGATGGCAATCGGGGCGATTGTGAAAAAGCCACAGCCTGAGCCCAGCAGACGTGCTAGCACTGAGACTACATTTGAAGATGCTACCATGGACTTTACTCTGGCCATGGGGAACATTAAGAATGGACACACAGCTGAGCAAGACGAGGAAGAAGAGATGGAAGATGAGGACCTCTCTATGGAGTTCACCAAGATTGTCGGACCCGGCATAAAGCGCGCCATTCCATCATCGGCAACACCAGAGAAACCCGTCGATACCGCACCCGCTCCAGCTGGCAAGACGCCGACTCCACAAAAGTCGTCGCCCAAAAAGTCACCAGGACGCAAAGAGAGCTCAGATCCCACAACCGAGTCGGAGGCCGTTCCTGAAGTCTTGAAAGACATCACCCCAAAGGCGTCAGGCGAGGTCGTTTACCCGAATCTTGATCCAGGTACACCCGAGATTGTCAGGCAAAAGGACATCGAAGAGATTGAGCCTTCTCCTTTTGTGCGCCGCACCCCACTGAGCGCTTCGAAAGAGAACAGCGCTTTAGCAACACCCAGCAGCCAAAAGAAATCCAGCACACCCAGTAGCCAGAAGAAGTCGAGTACACCCAAGGCGATTCCGGACGACCCGCTTGCAGCCCCTATCCTAAACAGACGGCGTTCGTCATTGTCTGCCGTCCAATTCAGCCCGCTAGGTACACCGCAGCAGAAACCTGTTTTGAAGAGCACCTCACTACTGAGCAACAACATCAAGTTACTATCTACTCCACGAAAGCAGATGCTGATGTCCCCGATGAAGCGAGGCATAACGCCAAAGAAATCACAGACGCCTCAAAAGCAACCAACACCTAAGCAGAAAACTCCGACGCCGAAAAAGGTTACCCCTCGGAAGAGCGTGAGCCCTAAGAAGCGTGTTGTCTTTGGTGAGCAAGCAGAAGAGGAGCCCCCAGTAGACGATGTCGTTGCAGAGAATGTCCCCGAGGTTGAACGCATCTCGCTTCAAGACTTCCTGGACATGACCAAGATCCGCTTCATGGACCTCAGCACGACCAAAAGACGCCATACTGCTGCTCCTGCCGCTTTCCGTGATGTTGAAGTAGAGGAAAAGGAAGAGTCGTTGGACAGCTTTGTGGTTGCAGGTGCGTGCACACTGCCCGAGTACGAACTATATCAACATGCATGCCATGAGATGAAGAAGTACATCTCTGATGGTCGCCACTTTGTCCGTACCATGGAGGCCAATGTTCTGGAAGAGAATCCGCTACTCTTTAGTGAATATCTCACTGCTCCCCCAGACCAGCGTGCTGTCATGGACAACCAGTTCAAGAACCTAAAGACGAATGCCCGTCTCGAGGCCCGAGGAGAGTGGTACACTTGGAGAAGCACTCTCCTGAAAGATCTCAAGGCTGGCCTTCTTCACACAATGGACGGCTTTAAACGCGATGAGTCTACTCTCGTTAACCAAGAACAACTTCTTGATGTTGTACTGCCGCCTTTGGTAGAGAAAAAGGAGCTTTTGTCTACCGAATGCAAGCAGCTACAGCAGCGGCACGACGAGCTGAACAGTTGCGATCGGGGAGAGCTCGAGAGTACAAGGGAGCAGCTCACAGCTACGAATGCTGAACTGGAGGAGAAGAAGCAGTTATTGGCTCAGCTGCAGAAGGAACTCGCCGACAAAGAAGCACGCATTGAGGCGGCGAAGAACCGCAAGGTTGAATGCATGGAAGAGATCAAAGCTGCAGAACGCGTACGAGAAGAGTGCCGTGGCTGGTCTACAAGCGAAGTCAGCAATCTGAAAGGTATGTCCAGTGTCTGTATTCTTGTTGCGTCGCACTAACAGCAACATAGCCCAAGTCACTGCCCTTGAACAAGCTCACGGCTGGAGCATTACTTCCGCTTCCTCGACAAGTATCACCATGACCCATTTGAATGACCTCGAACTGTACTTTTCGCCCTCCGCCTTTGCTACAGGCTCCAACACGCCAAATGGATCTATCTCGCTCGCTTACATTGGCGACTCGGCAACTCCTCATCCTCGTCCCTTGACCACAAGCAAGCGCTTTTTCCTCCAGCTCATCCGTGCTCATCTTCATGGCATTCCACAATCGCAGACGCGCATCTCGTCTCTCCTTCTCTTTATCAAGAACAGCTGGGCTACTGCGCTTGCAGTTGCCGAAGGTGTTTCTTGGCTGGAGCAGAGCTACATCACAGAGGAGTGCATACTTGCGGATGAACGCATGGCAATCACTGCCAACATGCTGCTTCCCACCCTTCAAACCAAGGTCAAGGCTACTTTTGAACTTGGCGTTAACCCAGGCAAGGAGGGTATGGAGACTGAAGTTGGCGCAACAGCAGAGGTTGTCTATGGTGAAAAGTATGGCGAAGAGAAGATGGGCGCATTCTTGAGAGACTTTTGTGGGAGTGAAGTCAAGGACACAGAGGAGATGTCGGTATGGGCAGATGCTTTGCTGGATCTCTCTGCCAGGCTTAAGAAGACTGGAAGGAAGGGTGAGAGAAAGTAACCTTGCGGCGCCTCCGTTGGGAGGAACGATGTCAACATTTTTACGACTCAGCATCATGAGATATGACGGCGTTTTGGGTCGGGAAATTTGCGGTTTTGAAGATACCAATTTTATTCGCTCTATTGTTCATCCATACTGGAGTACTACAAACTTTGCCCAACGCGACTCGTGATGTATCGTGGCATCAGTCGAGAGGGTTTACAGTGTAGTGATCCAGTCATACACCAAGGATGCCTGTACGCAATCTTAGGTCTTGCAGGGCAGCTGCTCAATTATAGCAGCCGAAACTCTAATTTAGGTAAGCTTTTGCACGGAGAACGACAGAGTACATTCAACATAGGGTTGCTGTTTGACCCGTACATTAGATACATATCATTTCAAAGTTGCTTCGTGGCTGCATTAATGTTGGGTACGTTCATTAACACGCCCCGTACGCCAGGACTTCCAACGCAACCCTGCTCCCAATCCGAGCTAGTTTTGCCACGGATCCAGCATCCGCAGTGACATGTAATAGCTAGTCTGCTTCCAACTGGGCATACTGGTCTTCCCTAGTGTTTCTACTAGCAAATAAAAAGTTGAATAAGCACAGGTGGTAGCTAGCATCACGAAGCGAATCGGTTGTATTACTAAATATATACTATCGCTGAGATAGAACAGAAGTGCGCTAACTTGCAACGACGGTATAGAACATGTAATGTCGAAGATTGTAGTACGATATGTCTGCCAGACGAAACTGAGTGTACATAGAGATATGGAGCCGCAACCGCGCAAAACTAGGCAAATTGACTTATGCGAAACAACCACAGGATTTGAATAGAGAAAAGAAACAGCCTCTCTTACCCAGGGCAATGTCATCTTAGTCTGAGTATAATAGCCTAGATTCTATTTTATCATCTTATGTTATTGAAGCGGTATCGCGTCGATTGTCGCGTCAAGTTTAGTGAGGTGTTCAGCTTACTGGTAAAACATGCTGCTCATCGTTGATACTTAATCGCTCATTCGGCGTCTTGGCACTCCGATTATCGATTTGACGAGCTTTGATGACTGAGCTTACGGTGATACAAAAGGTTGCTTTGATCGCAGGCTGTCTCACACATCGTGTGCTCATAGCTAACGCTCGGGGTAGTTTGAAATCCGCGGCGTCAGCACGTTAAAATCACGCATGCAAACAAACAAAGCGACACGCGTGGGGCGTGTGACGATTGCCATGTAATGTACACATTGCTATCACAAGGTATGCAAGGATATAATAGCATCCTAGTAATGGTTTTGCGAATGCTTTCCTTTGCTCGATGAAGATGACCATTGCAATTCTACTATAGAGAAAAGATTTGTAGAGGATTCGCATCATCAGCTACCCAGTGATATCGAAAAATCTAAGAAGATTCGGATACAATGGCGTCGATTGCAGCCAAGACACGGCGGTACTCTGTATGTGAAAAGCCCCCACAATGATCCCGTACACAAGACAGCTGTAGAGATCTAGCAAAGCAATACACATACGACAATTATTTTCAACACACAACCTTCCATTTACGCGTGCCATCATGTCAAATTTAAAAAGGCTTTCAATCCATTATCCCATATACGTGCTACGATCTTTGTTGCGCTCTCTTCTCGTAGCGTGACGGTGTCGGGCTGCACTACTTAGAGGAACAGAAGTCAGCTATACCATCTGAGTACAGAATTCCCAGATAACGACTTCTTCGGGCTCGGCATTGCACAATGGCGGTCATGGCGATGAGGTAATAACAGCACCGGCACATACAAAGGCCCTTTTGACTTTCGCCTTGGCCTCAGGTAAGTATCTTTGAGTTAGGGCTGCCCTCACCGTGTCCGTGCACAATTGCGCACAATCACGTAACGCGTACTTACACTTTTTTATCCTTGGTGTTTATTTCGATGCATCACAGGGGATAAGCTCTCGTAAGAGCAATTTGATTGCGAACCTTGGTATGTCGAACCAGTTACCGCTGCCTTGTCAATCAAATGCAGGCATATTGACTGAGAAGATCAAGAAGTATCTGTGCTTATGTACTATGTATGTAGATGAGCTTACGGGAGTGGCTGTGAAAAGTTCTTACGAACAGGGATGTACATAATACTACCGAGAATACTACGAAACATCTTATGTACTATCTAGTCTTGATGATTGCTTGGTATGCATATGTTTTTCTCTTCAATTATTAGTACTTTCAGATTTGAATCTATCATGAATGAAGAGTAGGCTGTGATCATTTCACAAGCCAGTCTTTGAGGAAAGAAGATAGATTTGATTTGTACTTACGACACAAATAGAAGAAAAGAGCTTGATACGAGGGTTACGGCTATAGTGAGGGCTTTAAACTAAGCTAAGAAACTTATCGGACCGATATCAGGACTTTTTTACAGGTGTCTCTGTAATTCGGCGTGCTAAGAAAAAGTTACTGGGCAGCTGTTAGATGCATATATAAAGTACAAGAGAACCCTAAGCAGTACAGCCTATTCACCACGAACATCTTCTAGTTGCCAGGGCGGCATTCGACCCGTTTGTATTCAACTTCAGCCTGGTTGTGAACAACTCAAAATGTTCACTAAAGCAGGCCGATACCTACTCCTAGGTATCGGGTTACCTGCTATTGTTCATGGAGCAGCGGTGGATTGGGTACGTGTTCTCCACACAATCCAAAAACAAGAGACGCAATACTTACACACTCACTTGTAGGGTTTTGGGACTCCGTTCGCTCTAGTGGGCGCAAAAAAAGCACCATGCCCGGATACTCTGGATCTCGCTCTTAAGGATTCTGCTACATACAGACCAGTTGTCGCAAACAGAGAAGAAACTGCTAGTCGGTGCGGAGACTACGGTCACAAAAGCTAGCCTTGATCTCTTCTTCTTCACGAACGGCTGGGATTTGATTTTCAACCAGACTACAGGGATTAGGTTACTCGAAGTCGACCCCAATGTCGATTACTGCTGGGCTAGCGCAAGCGCAGGGCCAAGCCTTGACAACTGCAACACCACTGCACCTGGCCAGAAGTTCTATGTGGGTTCAATGGGTTGAATGAAGTAGAATGATTTACTAACGCTTGCTCTTATTAGGCCCTTGCCCCAAATCTCCAGCTCCCCCAATTTTCTCTATACATAGACCGCTCGAGCGTTGTCCAGCCTCCTGATGCAGGCAAACCGTTGGTCACAGGCGCGGCTCATGCTGAGGGCGAATTCTGTGCGTACCTCAATTCAACTGGACAACTCCTCAAACGTCCACTCGACCTGGCCGCAAGCTGGCTGGCGCCTAACCAGGTGACCAATCTTACTTCCACTTCCATTAACACCGCTCTTATCCAATCTCCGGTGGACATTCCTCAATGCAACTGGGCGAAGGGCAATGACACCTATTCCACCATCCAAAGTTTAGGCTCGATGGATTGTGTCTTGTCTCAAGCGTATTCGAATGCTCCTGCCGACTGCATCAGCAAACCAGACAGTTTGGGGTGTGTCATGCACTATTTCCCGGCATTCTGTCTCGATCTGCCCACGGTCCGCGACAACAGTGATGCCCAAATTGAGGACTGCATCAGACGGATCGGCTCAGGACCTTGCGTAGCAAACCCCAATGGAGCAGCATGCGCCAGTAATCTCTTCGCTGGAATCAAGTATGTTGGTGATGGGGGTTCTTCCAGTGGGAGCGCACAATCACGCCGAGGTTTAAGTTCAACGCTCTCGCGTATCTGGCAGCAGGTGGACAAAGCGGAAGAAGACTTCTACTTAGGCAAGAATTTACCCCAACCCGAGGTGTTCAGCCGCACGACCTGCTAACTTGCTACCTAGGCGTTGTGAAGGCTGCAGTCAACTCGGGCATTGATATCTACAATTTTGGTGTCAGGGCCCTTAATTACTACACGGGCGTGCATTCTACCGAGTGGCGATCTACTTGCATAGGGGTTACCTACTTTGAAAAGCTATTCGACAAGACCGCGGCTGCGAATATGCGCGAGTCTTGCAATGCAATGTTTAATAGAACTATGAAGGTTTGTGATCATTTCATATACTTTCATCACTCCAAAACTATAGCGGCGAGCGCTGATCCCCGATTCTAAAATAGGAAAGCGCCTTGATCGAATACAACGGACCCATCGAGCAAGCGGGTCACATATTTTTCGAAATTGCCAACTGGCTGCTTCTTATCAACGATGTTAAAGCAGCGGTTCAGGCTATCGGCGCTGTCGATTGGCTGGTAGCCAAGTTCGAGGTTACAGCTTCCACCATCTCATCACGCGTCAAAGGATACATGCTGGAGGCCACCGAGAATGGTAGGACAGTACAGATCTTCCGTGACGCGGGCGATGGAACACCGCAAGTGCTTGGCCACAAAGATGACGTAGGAGCTTTAGTCAAATCGATTGAGGAGTCAGGTACGTCTCAAACATCACAGTGTTTGTTGTTTTCATCACCCTTCTCCTATCTTGTTTGACTGACCTCTTCTTCTTTATAACACAGTGCTGAGAGCTTTTAAGGATTCGACAATTGCAAGAAATGCGTCACTACTGGAAATACAAAGCGCCAAGGTTTCGAGGGTCTGCTACCCGCCCTCTGTTGCGCAGTGCGTAATATGTATCAAAACAGAGGCCGCTACAGATGGTTCAACAGCGACAACATCCCTGAGCCTCTTCCAGAACAGTTGGAAATGACTGAGTATTACAAAAGTGATGTAGTCAGAGTGAAGAAGAGGCCGATTAAATGGAAGCCTGAATTGACGACTGTGGATGAAGAATTTTGGCCGGTATTGGGAGATATCGTCTACTATGATGAAGAGGACAAAGAGTTAGTTAAAGGGGGGACCAAATTGTTGACACCGGTTTTCAACGGACCAGACGCGGTGGACCAGGTGGACGAAGTCGCCATGTTCCCGAAACAAATGTTGAATGCAATCAACAAGAACCATCCGGAAGCTCTTTCTGAGGCTCTCAACGAGGGATTGGGCCTTACTCCGGCAGAGTACGACAGCGTCTCTGCTTGGTTGACAAGAAATGAGTATGTGGAAGAACTACCACAGGCCATGAGGAAGATCCCATCTGTCGATGTTGCATGGTTTTATCACGGGAGATCTTATGATGCCAGAATTGTCGACATGCTCGAAAACCGCAAGCCTGGCATTGTAAGCGGAAGTGGCACGGGCTACACTGTTGCAGGTATACAAGGCTCCTTTTTCTCGACTTTAGCCAGCAAACTAACTCGTGCTATAGATTTGATATATCCCCAAGAGAACTGGGTTGTGGATACAATGCCCGGTACACTAGCCTTGGATCGAGCACAAGCTGGAACCAGCCAAATCATCTACGCGATCCACAGTGAGAGTGCACGCATTGTGGGTCCTGTAGTGGGGCTAGATAGCAAGGAGGCGCTCATAACTGGATCTGAGGCCGGCAAGTTTGAACTTGTCGGCCAGCAAGATGTAAAATTCGAGGGAGTCTCTGAATCTGGTAAACCACCAAGAAATCACTACGGACCCTGGACGATTTACTACTTTGCGGAGACTGGTTATGAGCCAGTAGCAAACGAGGGGGAAATCATGGATGCTATTGATGCTGCTTTTACGAAGCATGGAATTCAGGACACGTGAGAGGGAGTGCTAGTAGATCAGCTAAGAAAATTGGTGTCACCTATTATGCGCATGTTCCTGTTCAATATACGCGCCTAGGGCTTGTTAGTAGTAATCATCGGCCTGCAGCTATAGACACATGTATATGCAGGCGTGTAAGAACTCCACTTGCCAATTGGTTTTCAAATAGAATTGTAGACCTTTTCTAGCTTCAAATTTGAAGCCCAGCCAGTGCTTATGTGGTGAGGAAAGTCGACAAGTGTTTTCGATTATGGTACGTTGAAATTATCTATTCTTGAAAATGATATTTATCTCACTTGAAATTTATTACCCTCTCTCTGATTTCATGCACTGTAAAACAATATCAATAATTATGACAATTTGCCGGCAACGGGTATGCATAGTCACGGGGTGTGTGAAAGTCACGTGATTTGATCAGAAAGCCCCAATTGACATCAATATACTTCGTGACAGAATTCAGTGCAGGATATTGAGTATGATTTTCTCTAAAAACCATGGAAAATGGGCCCCCTCGAGACGCCCTGAGCCACTCATGATGGGGTGGCGTGTACCATGCTTGCGCAATACAAGCGAAGATATGCATCATTTAGGGTGACTGTGACGCTGGTCAGCCAGACAGAGAATCTTGACCACAGGTTTAGTTGTAATAAGGTGTTGGATTGGCCCTGGCGCAGATCGATTAATAGGCCCGATGTTCTAAGTACAGATCGATCTACATGTACCCGCACCCGCTGCGGATTTAAGCATGCCCTGGCGGAAATTGGACAACGTCTTCGCGTATCCACGTGGTTAAGTATCGAAGATGCAATTCGAGTCAGGCAAAGATCGGCAATTGCACTTACTGACATGCCTCGGTATCGTGAATAACTATAATCTCTTCAGGCTACCCATTACCTCGACCGCCCAGACTGGAGGGGCGCGGGCGCTTGGTCTTCCGCGGCTGTGGCCCTGTCCGGGTCATGAATCCGGTGGCTTTGACTCTGTCGTGAATCGCTTGCAGAAGATGTTAGCGTAAAGCCAGGCCCACTATGCCAATGAAGTCTTGGTAACGGAAAGGGGAAGAGAAATGTCTGACTGATATTTGAATGAAGTCAGCTGGACCAAAGCCGTAATAGAGGCCAAAGGCGTTGTATTAAACTGACTTTCTTCCGCTCTAGGGTCTTTCTTGATTGAGGCCAGCATTCTCAAGCAGAGGAACGGGTGCCAAGTGATGTGATGAAGGATCTAGTTAGACCTTTCCGGAAAGGGAATGGTTGACGCTGTATGCCCCTGATTTGGCGCATCGCTTACGCCGTAGCCGATATCTTCAGGCACATTCAACACCTCGGGGCCCGGACTCGTACCTTGATTGAGACGAGACCCTCAATTGCAGCCATGCCACCATGCGACAATTCCTGCAGGCAACCATCGCAGCCCCATCTTTTTCTTTTTGCCAACCCCACTCCAAGGAGGTCTGCGCCCCTGTTCTGAGTCGTTCCTCCGACCCGACCAGAAGATGCTGGTACAACGCCCGTCGCAATGTCATACAAAAAACAAATTGCTGGACTCATCTTGACGTCTTTCCTATGGGTAGACCAGGGATGAAGCGACCGGAAGGCTGGACCGGTTGAACCGACATGGCTTTGCGATCAGGCACATTCCCACCCCTCTTCCATTGATGCGCTACCACTCCAAGGAACGCTATCCATGGGCATTAACCGAGATTGATATCCTCGATACTAGGATGGGACCCATTCACCGGTGTTCAGTCTAAAGAAAGGCATCGTCATATGCCAGGGATCTAGATGCAAGCCATGCTCAAACTTAGCGCTCGCCTAAAAGCACACATTGCTGGACGCCCTACACTGCTTGGGCCCAAAGCAGCTAGGTCCACGACCTCTCTACCAATGACACGGCAAGTCAACAGCCATCCTTCTGTTCCTGCAGCTTCATGATCTCTGCCGTCTCATCCTGCACGATGGCATGGCTGCCTGCTGCTAAACGACTCAATTCAGTGACTAGCCGCTCATGCAGGTACCACACCATGTGGCCAAGGCTAGATAGAGTGCAATCTCCCCGTCTTCTTTTCCCATCGTGAGTTGCACTGCTTCCCAGTCCACTCTCAAGTCACTCTTTTTCGAGTCTCGACTCTACTTGCAGCATTTTTTGCTTGCGTCCTTTCATTGAGCTCGCTCATCACGATCTTTACTGGTCTTTGGCCGTCCTATCATTACGAATCGTATTGTTAATATTCTTAAAACTGGAATAATGATCTCCTCACTCTTTGCTCGCGCTGCTTTTGCAGCTGGGCTTCTTGCCACTACTGGCTCTGCTACTTTTAATGGCGCTGCTAAGACGAACATTGCCATGTATTGGGGCCAGGGAAATAGTCAGATCCCGCTCTCCGAGGTTTGCGCGGATCCCAATGTTGATATTGTCAATATTGCCTGTAAGTCTTCACTCATGATATGAAATGCAGTTGTTTCACTGTCAAGTTGGATACATATCTGTCCCTCGGGTTGAAACAACTCTCAATATTATCAGACTGCTATCTATAAAGAAGAAAGACTGCTAATTCCATCGTCTTCTACAGTCGTGAACAAGTTTCCCAAAAAGCGAGGCGAATACCCGGGCACAAATTTCGCCAACGCCTGCGGCGACGCCTACTACATCGATCCAACTACCAACCAGCCCAGTGCGTTGCTGAGTTCGTGCCCTGGTGTGGGTGATGCCATTACTGCTTGTCAACAGAGCGGCAAGAAGGTCCTGCTCTCACTCGGTGGTGGCTGGCCAGTCGATTACTACCTGCCCACGCCCGATGTCGCCAACTGGTTCGCCGAGTTCTTGATCGGAGCATTTGGACCCGTTACCCCTGAATGGAAAGCTGCCAACAAGCCTCGTCCTTTCGGAGATGCGGCCGTTGATGGTTTCGATCTTGATCTCGAAGCTGCCCACTACGAAATGCCTTCTCCGGAATACCTCTACAAGAACTATGATGTCTTCGGCAAATATGTCAAGAGCCACTCCAACATGCTCCTGTCCGGTGCTCCTCAGTGCATCGTTCCCGATGCCAGGATTTTCGAGGCTCTCAAAGAGGTTCCTTTTGACTTCTTGTTCACTCAGTTCTACAACACTTGGATCTGCTCTGCTGCCAAAGCCGCCCAAGATATCAAGAGCAACAGCCCAAGCACTTTTACCTTCAACACCTGGGTGACTTGGTTAAAGGCAAACTCTAAGAACCCCAACATCAAGCTCTACCTCGGACTCGCAGCAGGCCCAGATGGTCTCCCGACGTTCAAAGACCAGTACCTCGCACCAGAGGACGCCAACTTGCTTATTGAGACACTCAAGGACAACAGCATGTTTGGTGGTGTCATGCTTTGGGAGGCTTCTGTCTCCACGCGAAACCCAACTTACGGAAAGTCTTACGGTGAATGGATGAAGTACGCTGTTGAGGGTACTTTTAAGGAGAATTTCCACCCGATCGTGTCTTCTAGCACCATCGTGTCGTCCACAATCACCCCTTCAAGCACTCCTGTCTCGAGCACTCCTATTAGCAGCACTCCTATTAGCAGCACTCCTATTAGTAGCACTCCTGTTTCGAGTACTCCTGTATCTAGCAGCATGGCAACGAGCAGCACGCCATCTCCCTCGGATTATCCTTCCTCCAGCACTCCAGCATCCAGCACCCCCGTTTCGAGCAGTCCTATCAGCAGCACTCTTGTCAGTAGCACTCCTCTCTCGAGCACTCTTGTCAGCAGCACTCCTCTCTCGAGCACGCCTGTTTCTAGCAGCATGGAGACGATCAGCACACCTTCTCCGTCGGACTACCCTGCCTCCAGCACACCTGTGTCCAGCATCTCCGTGTCTAGCAGCATGGCGACAAGCAGCACGCCTTCTCTCTCATCTTACCCTGCCTCAAGCCCAGCACCTTCGTCCCTCTCTAGCATGAGTGCATCACACATTGAGTCGTCGTCTATCCCCACAAGTTCGCCATCCGGCACGGCTAGCAGCTCGGTTTCCGTTACTCTCTCGACTGGAAGCCTCAGCTCCATGACATCGTCCACTCCCAGTGTCTCGCCATCCGAGAGCATCAAGAGCTCTTCCTCCATCAGCTTCAACAGCGAATTCTCTACCTCTTGCAGCACCTCAACCAACGCCTATTACACTGGTGTTAGCTCAAGCTCTGGTGTCTATCCCACCGCGACTCCCGACGCCACATACTCTGCATCTTCTATATCCTCTGTTGCTTACTCTGCGCCATACTCTGCCGTTTATCCCTCTTCGGTGTCTTCAATCAAGTCGTCCGCGCTCCCTACCGAGACTTACCCTGCTGATTACCCAGCTGCTTCGAGCATTGGCTACAGCATCGTGTCTTCCGTCACCAAGAAGCCCGAGCAATCTGCGTACCCGACTGTTCCTGCTGGCTCTACCACCAGCGTCGTCACCAGTAAGTCCATGATGATTTTTTTGGTTTCCAAGCAACACATGCTAACTAACCTCCCAAAGCTACCTATGTCGATCTCTGCTCCACCGGTCTCTCCACGGGCCTCACCACCGTCACCACGACCTACGTCGCAACCGTCTGCACCAAGTGCGCACAGCCCACTGGCACTACCGATGTTCCCGAGGGATGGACTACTAGCGTATACTCTGCTAGCACCACCGTTGTGACCATTACAAAGCCTATCACGACCGTCACCGACGTTCCCGCATACCCGGTCTCTACTCCCTCTGTCGCATACCCTGCAGAGTACCCAGCTGTTCCTGAGGCCTCCATGCCTGCGTACCCAGCTGTGCCTGAAGTCTCGAAGCCCGCGTACCCAGCCGTGCCCGAAGTCTCCAAACCTGCTGTTCCTGAGATGTCGAAGCCCGCGTACCCAGCAGTTCCTGAAGCATCCAAGCCTGCTTACCCAGCTGTGCCAGAGGCCTCCAAGCCTGTTGTTCCTGAGATATCTAAGCCCGCCCACCCTGCCTCTACACCCTCTGTCGCATACCCTGCGGAGTACCCAGCTGTGCCTGAAGCCTCAAAGCCTGCTTACCCAGCCGTCCCCGAGGTCACTAAGCCTGCCTACCCTGCCTCTACTCCTTCTGTCGGATATCATGCAGAGTACCCAGCCGTGCCCGAGGCATCTAAGGCCGCCCACCCAGCTGTTCCCGAAGCCCCCAAGCCCGCTTACCCGGCTGTTCCTGAGATGTCCAAGCCTGCCCATCCAGTTGTTCCTGAAGCCTCTAAGCCTGCCTACCCAGTTGCCCCTATGTCCACAGAGATGGCCGGTTACCCAGCTGTTCCTGAGGCCTCCAAGATGGCTGAATATCCCGCCGTTCCTGAGGCTTCCGAGGCTCCTGAGTACCCATCTTACCCTGTTGGCAACGAGTATCCCAAGAAGCCTGTTGAGAATGAAGTTGCGAGCGCGATCCACATGACTCTTACCAAGGTCTCTGTTCCTGCTTACACTTCGGCCCCTCACCCATCGGCTGGCGTTCCTCACGTCCCCGCTGGCGCTGCCCACAATGCTACTGGTGTGTATGTGCCTATGTCAACTGGTTCCATCCAGCCCACTGTGCAGCCGCAGTTCGAAGGCGCCGCTAGCCGGGGCGGTATTGGATTGATGATGCTGCTTGGTGCAGTTGGTGCAGCCATTGTTTTGTAAATCTATATGTAGGGGAGACTTTGTTACTTTTGGAGATGTTGGTGTAGCGTGTTGGTACATAAATATGTTTCTCATGTATATCCATTCTAGTGTCGAGATAGTACCGTCTGGCGGTATGTGTCATGCAATTACGCGCAATACGCATTATACAGGGCCATTGTTTGATTGTGATGTCTCGTGTCCCGTCAGCGTCTCGCGCGAGTCGGATGGTTGTACCCCTCATGCCGACCAGGGCGCATGGTCGACTGGCGCATGGCCAAGTTGGTGCATGGGGTGTACTTGGACCAATGTACAGAAGCCTCTAGACGGATCGGGGCCTGTTACTAGTCATGCATGGAAAAGGTCGACGTTGATCGGCTGCGGGAGGCCGCGGGGGAGAGAGCTTGGAGCTCAAACATGGTGGAGACGGCCTAGTCACCTTTCGTCATTCGTTCGCGACGTCCAGAGAACAACGACCTGGACGCGCAGCCTTCGCCCACGCCCCAACACTTACCGTGAGGGCGCCGACATGCTCACACAAAAGACGCCAAATCTACGTATCGTTCCACCTGATTGAACTTTACACATCGCCTCGCCTCCGACTGGCTGTGTCTCGAAAGCCTCGCTTCGGGTTGCGTTTGCCTCTCAGCTACCTTCTTAGGCCCCCTCCTCTTCACCAGGAACCCGCAGTCTCTGGCGAATCTCGCCCCCGCCCAACATGAAGTATACCGTGTACGACCGCTTGTTCAAGCGCGAGGTTGGCCAGCAGCGCAGGAACTACTCGGACACCCGATCGTTATACGGCGACCGCAAATGGGTTGACGATCTCGATATCGTGAATGAGCTTGAAGGCCACACCGGATGCGTCAACGCCCTCAGGTAAGACCCCGCTACAGATTGCTTCAAGAGAAGCATCTGACCATTCCAGCTGGTCGAAGTCTGGCCGTCTCCTCGCCAGCGGCTCCGACGATCACCGTATCAATATCCATGCCTATCAGCCAGAATCGTCGACCGACCAATTCAACCTCACCACGTCCATTATGACAGGACATCGCTCCAACATCTTCTCCGTCAAGTTCATGCCATACTCCAACGACCGCACCATTGTTAGTGCTACAGACGATGTGAGGATATTCGATATTGAGTATTCAGGGCACTCGGCTTCCCGTTATGCGGCCAGCGCAGGCGGCGCACGAAATTTGGGTACAGCACGGAGCAGGGTGTCGCTTACCGAGGGCGATACAAATGCGAAAGCATTCCGTTGCCACACCGATACGGTCAAGAGAATCGTGACAGAAGACAACCCTTTCTACTTTCTGACATGCTCCAACGATGGAGATGTACGACAATGGGATATACGCCAGCCGGCCAGAGCATACCCACCAGCGCGAGACAGTATGATTCCAGCATGGGCGAGGGACGAAGACGCATCAGACGACATCCCGCCGCCACTCATTTCCTATAGCCGGTATGGACTAGATCTTAACACGGTCTCCTGCTCTCCTAGCCAGCCCCACTATATTGCGCTCGGCGGAGCACACCTCCATTGCTTTTTGCATGATCGACGTATGCTCGGCCGTGACATCAACCATGAGCGCGGATCCAGGCTTCCGACTCCAGCAAGTTGGAATGACCATGATGATGAGCTTTTAGGAAAAGCGACACAATGTGTCAAGAAATTCGCTCCCAATGGAAAGCAACGTATGAGCAGAAGCGACAGCGGCCACATCACAGCATGCAAGATAAGCGATGCCCATCCAAATGAGCTCGTCGTGAGCTGGTCGCAAGATCACATCTACAGCTTCGACATTTTGAGGGCACCGGATGCAAGAGAAAAAACGACGCCCACAAAAGCATCAACCAGTGAATCTGGCAGCCGAGTAAAAGACAGTAACAGGAAACGCAAGCGACCCAAGTCGAGCGTCTTATCTCAAGAAGCCGCTGAAAGGGGAGGATCAAGACAACGAACCGAGAGTGCAGAAGACGATGACCTGGCACTGCGTGTCACATATGGCAATGGACAAAGCGAAGATATTCGTATCCAAACGCCAGCCGAAAGTCGTATGACTCAGGAAGAATTGAATGAGTTGCGAGGGACGGACCACTACCGGATTGCAAGCGCAGCCGTCAAAATTGCAGACCGTATTTTCGATATTGGTGAACTTGGAGAGTCTGGGCAGCATTTGGCCTTTACTTCGATTCTGGGCCTGGCAAACTCGATCATCTCAGATATGGACGACATAGACCGGACATGGACTTACCCCATCGACCCAGATCCTGTCGATGTTGCTGTCCAAAACAAGCTTCGTGACAGTCGCGCAGCCTCACGTCGGTTTGTGCAGGCTGCTGGAACGTTGGCGCGAGTGCTGGGCGGGCAGCTGTTGACTGGGGCTAGCTCTGATGCTTTGATTGCGCAACACTTTGCATCAATCCAACCGGCACCGCGGGAACGGCAATTGCCCCAGCATGAGCAATTCGGATACGACTTTTTGAAGGCCATACTGTTGTGGCTTGACAGTGGCCCAGGCGCAGTAGTTGAAGGATTCTCAGGTCGGAGTAGCGGTGCTCGTCTACCTATCCCGCATGGGTCCGACATGGATGCTATACAAGAGCGACTGATTCCTTACTTGATGAGCCTTGCAAGCGATGATAGTATCGTCAACCCCGATGCCTCCAAGTACGAGACAGATGCCACTCGAGTTCTATTTTCTTCTGAGATCGAAGCAGTCGATGCTTTTGGCCAGGCGCTACAAATTCCCTTTGCAGATCTCACCGGTACCGATGGATCAGCTGCAGAAGCGGCATCGTCTGGTGAGCCTACACAAACACGAGCTGCAGCGAAGAGGAGATGGGCATACCAGGTTGGAAGAGGCGTCCTGCTCAATGCCTCGAAAGACATCAACTTTGCCTTTGTGGACCGCGCTTATGGCGGCCGGGGCATTTCAGATAAACAAATCAGAGCTACAGAAAGGGCGCTAAGGTCACGGCAAGCAAATATCAATCCCAGGGTAGATGAAGGTCCTGTTCGCGATGCAGAAGTAGTCAGCGCGGCAGCTGAGCCAGATACTCAGGGAGACAATTCTCCGGGCTCTGCCACGCCGGTAATACCGAGATCAACAGTGGTTGAAAATGCTGAAGACAATTGGGAAGAGCTAGAAGAGCAAGACGATGATGATGACGACGGCGAGAGTGATGGAGACGTAGACTCTGATGATGGGCTAGAGGATGATGACGACGACTCTGAGGATGGAGATGAAGAGGGACTGCGGCGGACAAGAAGCGGCCACATGCTATGGCGTACTGACTTTGGCCGAAGTCGCTACAAACGATGGAAAGTCGAACGTGATGTTCCATGCGCGCCTCACACACGTGTTTACACCGGACATTGTAACGTCAAGACGGTGAAAGACGTCAACTACTATGGTCTGCAAGACGAGTATGTTGTCAGTGGAAGCGATTCAGGCCATATTTTCATTTGGGATCGCAAAACAGCACAGCTTCTCAACATACTGGAGGGAGATGGTGAAGTTGTGAATGTTGTTCAAGGTATGTCCATCAACTCATGCATGATCAAACGCACCGCTAACAGAACTCAGGCCATCCCTATGAACCACTGATGGCTGTATCGGGCATTGACCACACCGTCAAGATCTTCTCGCCGGATGCTCATCTTCAACGCAACGCCCGCAAAGGCGTAGGCGTGCATTCCTCAGATCCCTCCTCGTTCTCCAGTCTCCGCTGGGGCCGTAGTGGCCGTAGTCGCAGCACTGAAACCCCAACCGAGACAGAAACGGAGCCTGCAGCGGAAGCGCTGAGTGACAGCGATGACGAGGTTGCGCCTGGCGGACTCGCTAGCCGCCGCAGAATGCACCAGAATTATCAAATTACAAGCCAGAATGACATGGATCGGAAGGGCGGAAGAGACGATTATTTCATAAGTCAAGCTGTGTTCGCACAGTTGGCTAGGCACATCGCTATGAGTCGAGCAAACGCTGGTGGGAATGGAAATGGCGAGGGAGAGGATGGGGAGGAGGGCAACGAATCCATTGTCATCACCGACGACAATTGCAGTATCATGTAGGTGGGAGATGGGTGGAGTCACAGCAGGCTGCTTGTGGTGGGACAGGCTGATTATAATTTCCGTCTGTACTGATATCAGGCCGTATAAGTATGCGGCCTGGCAGCATCACCATTAAACTATCAACTCTTCAATTTCAGAAACAACTCGGCAGTATTGGACCTGGATCCTTTGCGCCGATTACGGGTTTCACCCCTGTTTTTGTGCGGAGACCAAATCCACATGTGATGTAGTGCTAGGCGCTGTCTACGAGGCCTTCTTCTGCTGGGCCTTGAGCGCCTTCTTGCGATTGCTCTTGATCATGACGACCGAAAGGAAGCTGCCGACGACGGTGGTGCCGAGAATCAGGAGGATGACGGGGATACGGATGGCCCAAACGCGGGGGAGGAAGAGAGAATGGAGGATGTGGTCGTCGTCGACAAAGGGCTGCTGCTGTTTAGCATGCATGCTGGGCAAGCAAAGGGTAAAGGAGGCGTCGCACCATGAACAGTGTCCACACTGTGTAGTAGACGAAGACAACCGTCGCAGCGACGAGCATGCTGAAGCCCACGAGGCGATCGGCCTTTGCAGTGTTAGCGTGGGTGTTGCTTGAGCGCGCGCAGATGTGGGCATACCATTGTGAAGTTTGGTGGATTCGAGGAACGAGTGAATGAACTTGGAGTGGCTTGGACGTGGTAACCATCTCGCTGTCCCTTCCCTCCCCCCCAACGACGCGCCAAGCCCAGACCCCTGTCGGCAAAACCGCGGTCCGTCCGCCGCAGCTGCATGGCCGACGGCTGCGAGACTAAACTTTTGCGAGGCGCGTCACTCTGGACGCCTCCACCTCGCCTTCTCCTCGCATCCTCACCCTCCGTCCCCCCACCCGCCACGACCCTGCTACTCAGCGACGATGGAGGTCGCATCTGCCGTTCGCCTGCCTTCGCCCGAGCCCGAGGTCGATGCCCAAGACGTTCCGCGCAAGCGCGAGCGCTCGCCGTACGATGGGCCGAGTGCTGGGCCGTCCAAGAGAAGTAGGAGAGACGAAGATGAGGACGACCATCGCAACGGCGGAGCTGGCCGCCGCCCGCCGCCGAAGCCCACTACCGACGACCTGCCCGAGGACGACTCGCGACTGAAGCTCTTCCAGAATGCCTTTAGCGCGAATCGCAAGCTGCCCATCGACGACTCCAAGACACGTGCTGGAGGCGCGTACATCCCCCCCGCGCGACTGCGCGAGATGCAAAAGTCGATTACGGACAAGAAGAGCGCAGAGTTCCAGCGCATGGCTTGGGAGGCGCTGAAGAAGTCGATCCAGGGCCTGATCAACAAGACAAACACGGCCAACATCAAGATGATAGTGCCCGAGCTGTTTTCCGAGAACCTGGTGCGCGGCCGCGGCCTGTTCTGCAGAGCCATTATGAAGGCGCAGGCCGCGAGCTTGCCCTTCACCCCCATCTACGCAACCATGGTCGCCATTGTAAACACCAAGCTTCCGCAAGTCGGCGATTTGCTGGTCCGGCGTTTGATTGTGCAGTTCAGGAAGGGTTTCAGGAGGAACGACAAGGCTGTTGCGCTGTCAAGCACCATGTTCCTTTCGCATCTGGTCAACACACAGGTCGTCCATGAGATCCTGATTGCGGAGATCCTATTGCTTCTGCTCAACAAGCCGTCGGACGACTCTGTTGAGATTGCCATGGGCATCATGAAGGAGGTCGGCGCCTTTCTGGATGAAATGAAGCCGGCCATTGCCAATGCCATCTTCGATCAGATGCGCAACATCCTTCACGAAGCCGACATTGACAAGCGCACGCAATACATGATCGAGGTTCTTTTCGAGGTTAGGCGCACAAAGTACAAAGACAACCCAGTTGTGAGGGAGGAGCTGGATCTTATTGAAGAGGAGGACCAGATCACTCACAACCACACGCTCGAGGGTGACTTGAAGGTCGAGGATGGCTTGAACATTTTCAAATTCGACCCCGACTACGAAGCTCACGAGGCCGAGTACGCAAAGATCAAGGCAGAGATTTTGGGTGAAGAGGAGGGCAGTGACGATGACGGCTACACGGATGCATCTTCTGAAGACGAGGAAGACGAGGAGGTCAAGGCAATGGATGTCAAGGATCAGACCAACGCCGATCTTGTCAACTTGCGCCGAACAATCTACCTGACTATCAAGAGCAGTGGTGGTTTCGAAGAGTGCGTTCACAAACTCATGCGGATTAACTTGCCACAGGGCCTGGAGAACGAGCTCACAACCATGATTGTCGAGTGTGCTAGCCAGGAGAGGACGTATGAGAAGTTTTACGGTATGATCGGAGAGCGATTCTGCAAGCTGAACCGCATGTGGACAGACCTGTTCGAGGAGGCGTTTGCACACTACTACGAGACTATCCATCGTTTTGAGACGAACCGTCTGCGCATCATCGCTCAGTTCTTCGCTCACTTGCTAGCATCCGACGGTATCGGCTGGCACGTGTTCCAGGTTGTGAAGATGACGGAGGAAGACACAACGTCGAGTTCTCGTATCTTTGTCAAGATTCTGTTCGAGGAGCTTCTGGCCTCGCTTGGCCAAAAGGTCGTTGTCGAGCGCTTCAAGGATCCTATGCTCCAAGACAGCCTCACTGGCCTCTTCCCCACAGATGCAGACGACCAGGGCAAGACACGCTTCTCGATCAATTTCTTCACTGCGATTGGCATGGGTGTCCTTACAGAGGGTATGCGTGACTGGCTTAAGAACAATGCGCCCAAGCCGAAAGCACTTCCCGAGCCAGAAAGTGATTCGGACGATCGCAGTGTCTCGTCTCGGTCCAGCTACAGCTCGCGCAGTTACTCACGGTCGCGAAGCCCTGTCCGTAGAAGGAGGGATTCAAGATCCAGCTCGCGAGGCAGATCATACACACGCAGTCCAACACCTGACCGCAGGCGTGGCGGTCGTGGCCGAAGCGGTAGTTATGATTCTGCATCACGTTCACGCTCACGATCGAGGTCTCGGTCTCGTTCTGCCACGCCTCGGAAACTTAAGAGCAAGCGCTCCTACTCATCATCTGTTTCCCGCTCCCGCTCCCGCTCTCGTTCGCCACCTCGTCGTCGCGACCGCAGCCCTTCATACTCGGTATCCCGCTCACCACCTCCAAAATCAAAATCTACGCGCCGCCGTAGCCCTTCAGCGTCTCCGTCTCGCTCTCCGCCTCCGCGTCGTCGGAAATACTCAACATCCCCTTCGCGATCGCCGTCACCGCCACCAAGACGCAGACGCGACTCAAGCAGCCCACCCCCTAGGCGCAGGCGTGCGTCGTCTAGTCCACCGCCGTCGAAAGGCAAGGGGAAAGCAAGAGATGATAGTGCGAGTCCGCCACCGAGACGCAGGAGGGATTCTAGTAGCCCGCCGCCACGGAGGAGGAGAGACTCGTAGTAGGTCTTTGTCTGAGAAATTATGATGGTCTTACTTGACTGGTATTAGTTGAGGGAGGTGCTTAGTCGGAATAATGTATTTGTATGGCTTGGTAGCATTTGTATACTGTATTAAAGCATTCATAGCGAAATTGAGCGAAAAGTGATTGTGAGAGATGGTAGCTTCCTTTGCTTGAGTGCAAGTGTGTATACGAGTGTGGTCTGCCGTAGAAAGTTCGAGGCTTCGTCTTACAATGCCTTTGTGCAGTGTCTTCACATTCACCTTGTAGGGCTTGCAGCTAGTTTCACCCATCACTTCACTGTGTAGCGTGCCACGCCACAAGCACGCGGCAGTGAAGGAGCATGTTTTGCAAACGGGGCACGACACGCTCACGTCATTGTTTGTGTCGTGTTCACGGTGAGCGCCTTCCACGAGCGCAAACACCCTTGTCTTTGCCATTAACCTATCAGCGAGGTTGCAATCGAATCCAGTGTCACCTACGATTTCTATCTCAGTCACCTCGAAGTCACCCAAGACGGCCCTATCTCAACCCAGCTTCCTCGTGTCTACTACAACCTCCTTACTTAGTGCCACATTTCAAGCACCACAAGCACAACCGCAACTCAAATCATGGCTGAACTCAAGGCAAACCTTGGTCCGTATCGGCTCAAAGTCGCTCTCGAGGCTGACCGTCAAGGCGCAAACTGCTTTGTCCTCGACGTCGGTCATGACGAGGATGGCAACCAAGTCGCATCACTGGACCACGTCAACGAGATTGTCTACAAGTACATCTCGAACATTGAAAACCTGTATCAGCCCACGACCAAGCTCTATGTCGTCGGCGACTGGAACGTGACTCCCAAGGAGGAGCGCCCCGAGACTGAGGGTCTGAACCATCCTATGGACAAGGTAAGCATACGCAACGCTTGGTTGATTGAACATAGTGCTAACACTGCGGAAGCTTCGTGTTAAGAGCAGGGCGGAGCAAGAGTGGTATGAGGCCAGCAAGAAGATTGCCAAGCTCGTTGATCACATGCCTGGACTGAAGGAATTGACGTAAGTAATGGCAATCACCGTTGGCAGTATACTCGTTAACACGATGCAGGTGGATGGCAGGCCTACCTTTCATGAGCATGATGTGGGAGACGCTCTCGACATCGCTCACGAAGCTCATCATCGACCTCGGCCAGCCAGTGCGCGTCGAGCAGGATGGCGACATCGAGTACAAGTCGTACATTACGCAGAGCAAGATGAAGCCTCTTGTCCAGCAGACGCAGCTTAAGGAGCTCCGGCTGTTCCGCATGCACGATTCCATGCAGCCCGTCATCTGGGAGGCTATCTTTAGGAACGTAGCTGAGAGCGGCGTGCGTGTTGCAGACTTGCAGATGGCTGCTGAGCCCATTGTGCGCGCGAACCACTGGCACAAGGCGGAGAATGTGGTCGGCTTGACTGTTCCCAAGCAGGATTCCAAAGAGCAGGAGTACAAGTAAGTTGGCGTATCCATGTGTTGTTGGTGTTGATCAAGGACTGACAGTGCATAGGGGTATTGAAGGAAAGGGTGTTTTGCACCACTCCTTCGGTACTGGCGAATATCTCGACGCTTTTTGCATGCGCAAGGCGCGTATTGCAGCGGGCTTGGACGAGCTGAAGCCACTACCTCTCTGGTAAGTTGTCTTCTTGGATGCATGAAGTCGGACTAACTCTATGCGCTAGGTGCCTTAAGCTCGACGGCTTTGTGGTCGACTACCTCCCCTTTGAGCACGAGCTTTCTCGTATTGCTCTGCTGACCTGCGGCAACGACTGCATTGATAGCGGTCTGCGCGCTCCCAAGACCCCGTGTACTCCGCACAATCGATGGGGTAAGATTGTCAACAATGCGCCTTCGCACTGTCTGATCCAGTGGCCCAACTGGACGGGTGTGTTTGATGACCACGGTCACCAGCGCGACAACCACGGCGCTGTCGTCTCGCAGGAGACTGGCCTCTCGACTCCGGCTAATGAGCTGCCATCCCCATCGCCGGCGCCCTTGACCAAGGAGTTTCTCCACCTGAAGGATCTGGGAGATGCTCTCGACGAAGCAGACAAGAACGGTGGATGCTCTGCAGCTTTGCCCGAGGTTGTTACAGAGGCAGCAGCTACTACACCGACGACTATGGCTTCTGATGTGTCCATCTGCGGCTCCGAGGAGCCTACGCCCTCTGTGGGAACGGCGGGTCGCAGCTCCCCCAAGCTCTCTCTGCTCGATGGGTCTGCAAGCTCGGGTACCATCTCGCCCATGATCCGAAGCCAGATTCTGGGTGACGAGGGCATGATGGAGTCGATGATTTCTACTGACAGCAGCTTCGACCACGTGAGCCCTCGGGATGTTGAGGCAGGCTCGTATGTTGCAGCGCATGACTATGACGGCACGGCGTCTGACAGTAAGAGCGAGTCCAAGACGGGCATCTTCAAGCATAAGGTAAGGCGATCTTTGGAGTGGTTGTCTGGTTCTCGTTCTGGTTCTGGCGAGGCGTTTTAATTTTGGCGTGGTTCTCTTTTCTTTTCTTCTTCTTCTTCTTCTTCTTCTTTCTTGTTAATTCCTTTTTGTCTTCTAGTGTGGTTCTTTTTCACTTTGTTCTTTTTTTTTCCTTGCCTTGGTGCTGAAACTTTTTTGTTTTTGTTTTTTCTTCATTCATGGGGGGCTGACACTGAGGGAGTGAGATGGTGTGCATGGGCAGGGTCTGCTGGCAACGGCCAATCTCGTAACCCTTGTATTCACTCCTTGCTTTTTTTTCTACCTTTTTTGTACAGGAACTGATGGCTGGTTATGAAGTGGGAGGGAGGGATTTATTTGATGCAGGGACGGATGATTCATGGAACTAGTAGGACGAGCCCATGCGCCAAGTTTCTTTGCTCAGCGCTTGGATGGTTCTTGAGGAGGGCGTCTTGGAAAAGCCGGTGTAGGTGTGGCGTGGGTGGGTGGGACATGTCGAGGTGTGTATTGTCCATGTCCATGTCCATGTAGAGTCGAGGCGAATGGATAGCTCTCTGGACTGTGCACCGCTTTTCTTTCCTGTTTGCCGTGCCCGTGACTCGGTGGTGGGGTGATGTGTACTGTACTTCCTGTGCGTCCATGTACATGTACATGGTCGAGTTTTGTGAATAGTGGCGATGCAAGTACGCGGTACGTAGTCGTCCTATAAGTACTAATGAGCAGACACGAGAAGCCTTTTGTTTTTTCAAAGCGAAACCAGGAAACGCAGAGTCTGTTCCCATTCGCAATCTATCAAGGAGGGGGCATATATGCACACTTGAGTATAACGTATTCCACCACCGAGAGTGCCACCCCACCGAGTGTGCCACTTTTTCTTGGCATCG